GGTCGCACTACTCTTTTGGAACACCACATAGATACGGGCGACTCAGCCCCTATTCGGCTTAATTCCCACCGCTTTAGCCCTGCGGAAAAGGAGCATGTCCGCTCGGCTGTTGACGAAATATTGGCGGTGGACATCGTCTCCCCTTCCACTAGCCCTTGGGGTGCCCCCATTGTGCTAGTCAAGAAACGGGATGGGAGTCTCTGGTTCTGCGTCGATTTCCGTAAATTGAACAAGATCTCGGTGGCTGACGCATATCCATTGCCTAGCATTGGATGATTCCCTGGACGCCCTCTCGGGCGCGCGGTTCTTTTCGACTCTAGATTTGCTCTCCGGCTTCTCGCAATTGCCGCTGGACGAAGCCTCTAGACCCAAGACAGCATTCCGCACGCCCCAGGGGCTGTTCGAGTTCAATCGGCTTCCTATGGGTCTTCATTCAGCCCCAGCCACCTTCCAGCGTCTCATGGAGATGGTTTTGGTGGGGCTGCAGTGGGAGTCTTGTTTAATCTACTTGGACGACGTTATTGTTTTTGGGCGTACGTTTGACCAGAAATGCCATTTGCTACAACCATCGGTGAAGTATTTGGGACACATCATTAGTGCGTCAGGTGTCGCCACGGACCCGGAGAAAACGGCTTGTGTCCGGACGTGGCCGACTCTCACATCTGTCGCGGAGGTGCGTAGCTTCGTCGGCTTCGCATCGTACAATCGCCGGTTTGCCCGCGATTTTGCGACGATTGCGAAGCCGCTGCACGCCCTCTCCGCCAAAGGCCAAAGGTTTTACTGGGGAGCGGAGGAGGAGGCTGCTTTTGCGACGCTTCGCACGGACTTGGCGGATGCGCCGCCCTTGGGGTACCCCGATTTCTCGAAGCCCTTTCTGCTTGACACCGATGCCAGCGACATGGGCATTGGGGCAGTCCTGGCCCAGGTGGTCGACGGGGTGGAGAGGGTGGTAGCCTACGGCAGTTGGGTTCTGTCCCCGACGGAACAGCGATACTGCGTGACTTGGAGGGAGCTTTTGGCCATAGATTTTTTGTTCAATTGTATAGGCCCTACTTGTACGGTAGGCGGTTTACAGTCCGAACCGACCACGCGGCCCTGCAATATTCGCTGAGGATTGGTCAGCCCTCGGGTCAGCTGTCCCGCTGGCTCGAGGTGCTCCAGGATTACCCCTTTGACGTAATCTACAGAAAGGGGGCACTGCATGGAAATGCGGACAGCTTGTCCAGATTGCCGGCAGGCGGCGGGTGTGCTTGCGCCCTGGGCTCTAGCCGTTGCAAGTCCCCAGGGGCCGTCGCGGCCCAGTTGGTCGCGTCGGCCGCGACGGCCACCCCCCGGGTGTGGCAACATCCGCGGATTTCGGCCTGGGACTCCCCCGGGAGGTATGGTCCAGCTTGCAGATGGAAGATTCCTCCCTGCTGAAGCTACGGCGATGCGTCGGACGTACGGCCCGGGGATCAGCTTCGTCGGCGGCCCCAGCGATCGCCGTGCATGACGGACTCCTCATGCGTTGGGATGCCCAATTGGAACGCTATTGCGTGGTTGTGCCCACTAGCCTACATGGTAAATTAACCCGAGCCATTCACGAGAAGCTTATGCACCTTGGCTACCACAAGACCCTATTGACCCTTAAGCGGGACTATTACTGGCCAGGTGTGGAGGGTGACGTGGCACTGATTTTGAAGGGTTGCCACGACTGCGCGCGGAGGAAGGCCCCAGTTGTCCAGGACCGGGTCCCGCTACAGTCCATCCGGGTTTCTCGCGTTAATGAACTCGTGGCGCTCGACATCTTGGGCCCATTCCCTGCATTCCAACGGGGCCATAAATACCTCTTGGTGGGCGTTGAGTACTTCACACGTTGGCCTGTGGCGTGGCCTTTGGTCGATCAGTCGGCCTCTTCTATCACCGAGGCGTTCGTCCAGGGGTACGTGTTGGATAAGGGTTTCGCCGGAACAATTGTTGACGGATCAGGGGCGGAATTTCTCGTCTAAACTGCTCAAGGAGGTGTGTGACCTCCTTGGCACCAAGAAAATCCGCACCTCGCCCTACCACGCCCAATCGGACGGGATGGTAGAGCGCTTGAACCGCACCCTCACTTCCATGCTGTGCCACCATGTGAACACGTCTAAATCAGACTGGGACCTGTTCGTCCCGGGGGTCTTGGCAGCGTATCGGTTGGCTAATCACGCCTCAACGGGATTTTCGCCTTTTTATTTAATGTACAGGAGGGAGCCGGAGCCCCCGGTGCACGTCCAACTGGACGTGAGGTCCTCCAGGAAGGGGTCGGCTGTGCGGGTCCCTTTGAAAGTCGCGCTTGACCGGCTGCGCGAGGCACGGCAGGCCGCTGCTGAGAATTCCGCCGGCCGGCAGGCGGCTAATGAGCGGCTGCCCAAACACCAGGCAGCGGGGCGTCTCGTGGGTAGCGGGCCAGAAAGCGTGGCTGCATTGTCCCCAGGTCCCGGTTGGCACATCTGCCAAATTGCACCGCCCGTGGCAGGGTCCCGTTGAGGTCGTGGAAGTCCCCCGGCCGCAGTGCGTCCAGATTCGGTTCGGACACCGGCGGTGGATAGTGCACCCGTCCCGGCTCAAACGCTATATTCCATCTACCCTGGGGGATCCACCCCCAACTCCGGGGCGGCCGGCGGGTGATGCGTCCGTCGTGCCTGTCCGTCCGGGTCCTGTTGACGGGGGCGGAGTTCGCCCTGTTTGTGTGCCCCCAGGGCCCTTCCAAGTAGCGCCGGCGAGGACCCCCCGGCCACCGGAGGCTACGGCGGTGGGCCTGTTGCCTGCGGACAGCCCACCTGCACGGGGAAGCGGGCCGGCAGCGCATACCCGTTCAAGGGGGATGCGGCTCCGGTGATGGCCTGGGCGGCCGTTCGTAGGACCCAGCCCCGGCGCCCGCTCGGCACTGCCGGCCGGAAGAAGCCGTCGGGGCAGCAGAGTGACGTCACGGCTCCTCAAGGATAAAAGGGGGACCCCGTGACGTAAGCGGGGTCGTAGCTGGAGAGTAGGGTCAAAGAAGGGTGGAACGGGGAGCCAGGGGCAAGAGGGTAGGGAGAGGGGAGAGCACAGTGCCAGGCTAGACGTGGCTGTGCTCCTCGGTCGGCCGTGCTGGCTGATCCCACGGCCGGGACAGAGGAGACAGCACAGGGCAGCCGGCTGTGTCGGGACCTAGCCTGGGACCCCTAACCCCTAGGGAGTTGTTCACCCCTGTGTATTGTTAAAGATTTGTAATAAAACCTTGGCGGAAGCCCTTACCTTACCTTAGCCTCCGAGTGAGTCGTCGGGAACTCCTTTACAATGGTAACAAGTACCCGTCTCTTTCCCTGGCTTACTCGGTGCACTTCAAAGAGGATTACACCAGCATCAAGACCTTGCTGGATGCCTTGAAGTACGATTAGTATGGCTGGGAGGTCATCGAAGACTTCAAAATGGTGGCATTCCTGATGGGTCTCCAAGGCGGTTTTACCAAGTTTCCCTGCTGTCTTTGCCTGTGGGACAGCAGGGACACCAAGGCGCACTGCCACAAGCGGGACTGGCCATAACGGACCGAGTTCTCTATGGGGAGGAACAACGTCAAGTGGGAGCCACTGGTGGACTCCCGGAAGGTGCTGATGCCACCACTACACATGAAATTGGGCCTGATGAAACAATTTGTCAGAGCTGTAGATAAGGAGTCAGCAGCCTTCAAGTACCTTCAATACTTCTTCCCTAAGCTGTCTGAGGCAAATATCAAAGCCGGTGTCTTCGCCGGACCACAGATAAAGAAGATCCTGGAGTGCAATGAATGCCCCAAGAAGCTCACTAGTAAGGAGAAAGCGGCTTGGAACAGCTTTGTCGCAGTGGCTCGTGGCTTCCAGGGCAATCACATGGTCGAAAACTATGTGGAGCTGGTTGAGACTGGTGAAGAACTATGGCACAATGGGCTGTAGGATATCCCTCAAACTCCATATCCTTGATGCTCATCTTGATAAATTCAAGAACATGGGCGCGTACTCGTAGGAGCAAGGTGAGCGCTTCCACCAGGATATACTGGACTTTGAACACCGCTACCAAGGACAGTATAACGCGAACATGATGGGAAGACTACATTTGGGGGTTGATTCGTAAAAGTGACTTACAGTATAATCGGAAATCTCGAAAAACTACTCACTTCCAAATCTTTTGTAGTCATTTTGTATTACTTTAGCATAAATACATGTACATTTGTATTCACATGTTGGTTTTTTCTGACTTTATGTGAACGAAAATACACAAATTCACCCGTATTCTCACTGAAAATAGGTCAATTTAAATATATCACTGTCCTGGTCACAAAAGCAAAGTTTGTGGGTAATAATACCCATTTTCTATACTTTTTAGGCATAATAAATTACGAAATAACACTTCCTACCCAGGAACAAAAATTGTGTTACATAGTGTAATTAAAATATCCATCGTACAAACTTGGAATACTGAACTCACATGGGCAGCATGTGTAGAGGAGAGTGCGTCCCCTGTCGTATAAAGAACGCAGCTTTTCTCTGACACACTGGGCTGCACTGCTTGGTGAGATTTCCCAATGCATTCTTTGTCTCGCAGCATGACACCGACAGCGCAGGGAGAATACATATCAAAAAAAGGCCAAATATAACAGTGAAAATGTTATTCTGTAACTGTTAGGCCTATCACTAAATATTAAGAACAATTCAATTCAAGTAACATCTCTCAAACCCGGACTCAAGTAACCGGAATTCAGAGTAAGCCAGGTGGAAGGCTACTGGAAACAAATAAAATAAAATACGACCTCCTATGAGACACTATTCTGGTGGTAGGAGATGAAGTGCACATAGGCAATATAAACTTTAAAAAATAATAATTATCTGTCACATGGAATTTGGCAAAGTCATGCCCTTTAATGCCATACGCTACATGGGGGGCTCTCGTTAAAATGTATTTAATAAAAAATAAAAAAACAGGGATCACAACAGTGACAGTGGTGAGATAAAAATTAGAGGACTCACAAGTGTTCTTCAACTTTCTTGGTCAGGACGATAGACTGTGGTGAGAAGCAAAGAGAGAGTTAAATAAGCCAAACAAATCAAATATTATTTTGTCAAAGGAAAATCAAAGCAGCAAGCAGGCCACAAAATGTGACAGCATGAGCAATCACTGCATAAACCTTATTCCCAAACGCAGCCTCCTCACCGTGGCTACAGAAGTGATCATTCTCCAAAAAGAGATTCAATTAAAAAGGGCTGGGAAGCACTGGAGGATTTGGGTTGGGGGGCTAGGGGAGAGGAGGACGAGCTGGAGGAGTGGGGGGCATCTACGAGAGAGAGGGGTGGAGGAGTTGGGGGGCAAGGAAGAGGGACTGGAGAAGGTGGGGGGGGGGGGGGCTAAGAGAGAGGGGGTGGGGGGGGCTAGGAGAAAGAAGGGGGCAGGGGAAGTGGTGGGAGGGGCAAGGGAGAGGTTCTGGAGAAGTCGGAAGGGGTGGCTAGGAGAGGGGGGAGGTTGGGGGAGGGCTAAGAGAGGGAGGGGCTGGGGAAGTGGGGGGGGATAGAAGGGGAAGCTGGAGGAGTTGGTGGGGAACTCGGAGAGAGGGGGAGGGGATGGGGGAGTAGGGGGAGTGGGGGGAGTGGGGGGCGGCTAGGAGAGAGAGGGGGGCTGGGGGATTGGGGGGGGGCTAGGAGAGGGGGGTCTGGGTGAGCGAGGGGCTCACCCAGACCCCCCTCTCCTAGCTAGGGAGGGGATGGGGGACTAGGAGAGAGAGGGACGGGATGGGGGAACAGGCGAGAGAGGGAGGGGATGGGAGAGTGGGGGGCTATAAGAGAGAGGGAGGGGATGGGAGAGTGGGGTTAGGAGAGAGAGAGGGGGGATGGGGGGATGGGGGAATGGGGGACTAGGAGAGAGAGGGAGGGGATGGGGGAATGGGGGACTAGGAGAGAGAGGGAGGGGATGGGGGAATAGGCGAGAGAGGGAGGGGATGGGAGAGGTGGGGGACTAGGAGAGAGAGGGAGGGGATGGGAGAGTGGGGGGCTATAAGAGAGAGGGAGGGGATGGGAGAGTGGGGGCTAGGAGAGAGAGAGGGGGGATGGGGGGATGGGGGAATGGGGGACTAGGAGAGAGAGGGAGGGGATGGGGGAATGGGGGACTAGGAGAGAGAGGGAGGGGATGGGAGAGTAGGGGCTAGGAGAGAGGGGGGCTGAGGGAGGCTGTGAGGCCGTATGTCTGGGACACGTGAGATTCTCATCTCTGCATGATCCACCAGCACCATCTCCAGCAGGGACAATAGACTAGAGCCAAGAAGTTGCCACTGCAACAAACCATTCGTTTTAAAGCTCTTTCATAATTGATGTGTTAAGGCCAAGGCATATGAAGCAGTGTTATTTAAGTTAAGAATAAATAATTTCAACTAACTTTAAATTAATCAATAAAAACTCGAATATTAATAAACCAAAACATTTTGATCAAAAAATACTTAAAAAATAAAAAAAATCACTGTGAACTTGGAAAGGAAAATTATAGTAAGAAACTGGACCCTGACTGAAACTTAAATAACACTGTTGTGGTGGTTGCTGTTGTTGCAGCTGTTGTGTCCCGAGTGGGTGACGGTGGCTCTGGGAATAGGGCACGCGTCCGTTCATACTCACAATAGGCTGCCGGTCCATGCACAAGAAAGAGGCAGAGAGACATAAGCAGAGAAAAACAGAGACAAAATATAAAAAAATATAAAAACAAAAAGCATTGTTAATAGAAAGATTTGGCAAACATTCATCCTGCGCTTGTTACGGGCTTAAAATAGAACAGGTGGCAACATGCTACACATGACAGTGGAGTAAATAAAGCTCAAGAGACTTAATATGCGATCATTAGTTATCTTTACAAAGTCGTGGGGAGGCAATTAAAACTGAGCTGTTATGCATGGCACTAAGCATTAGAAGGTATTTATTCATTTTTGCCAAAGCCATGTCACTAACAAACGAGGTCTTGACGAGGAAAGCCAATGATAGACGTTGTTAAATGTTTTGCAGCATTGGTAGGCGACAGGCACTCATTTCAGGACACATTCACGAAGGGGAGGAGGAGGCTTTAACTCGGCCCTCTTTTAAGTGGTGACAGAGCCAACGCTTCTACCGTGTTACCCGTAACTGACCTAACACTACCTTTACAGATTAAAACCAGAAAAGTAATCCCACACAATTGGAACTGAGAAAACGTAAACAAATAATACACAATTAAATAGGCAACGTAAAACAGAAATTATAACTAAAGGGTAAATAAATGTAAACCTAAATAACACTGGTGTCAATGAAAGGGGTTCAAATGCGGCCTTTGAGCTGAGCTGGCTTGCTCACATTATGCCTGTACACGGTGCACGCACCGTGTGTAGGCACGCGTGCGTGCGTGTGCGAGAGCGAGCGAGCCGGTGTGCATACGTCTGTGGCGCGTGCTCCCTGCTCCTGCAGAGTCTTCTGTAGCTCTTCCAGCTGAGCCTGGAGCTCCAGGACGCGCTGGTTCAGCAGCCTGCACCGGCACACGCACCACCACCACGACGGCGTCAATGGTACAATGGTGGTGATGACGATTGGGATGATGGGGTTGGTGGCGATGTTACTATTGATGGCTCGTTCATAATGGGTATCTGTGTGCTTGTAGGTGTGACTGATGGTGGCGATGGTGACGACGATGTTAGTCATGTCCACGTTAGCAGTGTTGACATTGGTGCTGATGGTAGCAGTGTTAGCGCTGATGATGGTGTTGATGGTGTTTGATCATGTTTGCCTCCATGTACGCTGCTCTGTGATAATGTAGCGCCATAGATGGAACGGTACCTCGTACCGTCAGGGGAGGGGCTGCAGTGCCAGCCCAAGAGGGGAGGGGCTGCTGGGGGCTCAGGATCCCCAGACAGCTAAGCCCCTCGGCACCCCCAATGGCGGGGGGGCTGCGGGGGTTCTAGGATCCCTCGCAGCCCCACCCCTCAATGGGCAAGGGGCATAAAAGGGGACCTCCCCAGCCGATCCGGACCAGTCGCAGCGGAAGAACGAAGACCAGCAGCTAGATAGGACCCTGGACCCCCTTGCCCCACTGTCCTTGTAAGGGCCGGGACACTGTGCGGGCCAGTGGTGGGACTCTGGGACTCCCGGCCCCATGCCCTTTTAAGGGCGAGGTCCGAGCAAGCCAGAGTCTAGACCTGCACCTTGGCTGGGTCGGGTCAGGGTAGCCTCCCCTAGGGTAATTATAGCGGAGGACCCGACAGAGTAGCCAGTGTCACGGCACGCTAAGAGTAGGCTGTATCCCTAGGCTGTAACAGTGTATCTGTATTGTAATAAAGAAGTTGCCTGTGCAAAGTGTCTCTGGAACCCATTACAATAAGGTTGATGGTGTTTTTGATGTTTGTATTTGCGGTGGTGGCACTGATTCTGGTGCTGAATGCGGCTGATGATGCTGGTGTTAGTAAAATGGTGATACTGGTTTTATTGATATCCGTGTAAATTTGTATGCAGGCAACATTAACATGTATATATATACTGGATTTCATCTTCAGAACTAAACTATTTATATCCTGGGGTATATGGGGTGTGAACGGTAGAGGTAACACCTCTTAAGCGGGAACAGTCACACTCCGAGTGGTTCACAATCTCTAGTGCCCACTCATACGCAGTCTCAGCTGTGGCTCCCAGGAGTTGCCCGCAAGCGCCAGTGGCAACACCAGGCGAGGGTAGCCAACGAGTTTGGAACCCTTGGTGAGACAAGGAAATATTATTTGGGTCTTTCGGGAAAGCCACATAGCAATCATCATGAGGTGATGATTGCTTGTGTTTCGATCAAAACGTCGTGATATTTTTATTATTTTTTCTATCTACGTGGCTTTACCGAAAGACCCAAAGGATATGAATTCCTGCAGTCACGAAAGCTTGAAGTCAAAATTTGAGAAGAGGAAATGCGAAGACTTTTCTCAGTGGAGTGGGTGGAAGAGATCACCATACTGTTTCAATGTCCATGGAGGCAGCTAGAGCAGAGTGTTATGGGGCCCTCAGAGCGATGGCAAGACACTGAAGAACCCTCTGGTCATCCACTGCAACTGGCCTCGTCTCCAGTCATCTTGACTTCGTCTTGCCAATGGACTTTGATGGGCCAAGACGAGAGAGTGAGGCTGACGTTGGGCAACTCTCCCTCACTCTAATGCAATTCACGAGCAATTCATAACATCACCCACCAACTATACAAATCATTCTTCACGTGCTCTGGCGATGGGATTGTGACGAAGCAGGTGTGGATACACTGGGAGCTGTGGCCAGAGACTTGTGCACAGGCGGCTCAGGCTACAGAGTCATCTATCACTGGACAGAAGCAGCGGTGGGGACTAGGCAACCCCCTGAGAGATTGAGCAGCTCTGTTCAGGATCACGCTGCTCACCTCCCGAGCATGACGAAGGGGCTGGAAAAGGTGCGCTAAACATTGTCTGCTTCATCCACCCTGGCCAGAATACTGTGTGGCTGGAGGGGATCCCACTTCACTTCTGCCGTCGACCCCTCAAGAAAAAAATATAGGTGACACCGCTCACCATTGGTACATGGAATGTGCAAATACTCTTGGACAACACCAGGTCAAACAGACCAGAGAGAAGAACAGCCTTGGTCGACAGCTTGTCAGATAAAACATCCACATGGCAGCTCTATGTGAGACTTAACCAGCAGGGGAGGGTCAGCTTTCTGAGCTTGGAGCCAGCAGCAACTTTTATTGCAGTGGTCGTGGCAGCGACACTCAGGAGTTTGGTTTGCAATCAAGTTCGATCTCATCAACAAACTTGTGAGTCGGCCAATGATCGACTCTTGACCTTGAAACTCCCATTTTAGGGGAATCGGAAAACCACCATTGTCAGTGCTTATGCACATTTAGAGTTCAATGACACATTTTATGAAGAGCTGGAATTAGCGATTACTGCTGTGTCAAAGACAGACAAACGGATCATGCTTGGTGACATTAAATGCTTGAGTTGCCACTGATCAGACATGGTTGGGAGTCATCGGAATAAACGGAATTGGCAAATGCATAGAAATGGCCATCTCCTATAAAAGACAACAGTTCCCGTTCTGTTGTAATGTGCACTGATGCCTACTTTATTGAGGGCAATATTGGCACATTAAATAAAGATTAACTGATGGATTGAAAACTGCTGAGCATGACCTCATCACCAACACGGTCTTCCACCTGCCAAATTGCTATAATAAATCCTGGATGCACCCCTGCTCCAAGCAGTGGTGCCTAATTGCCTACGTGATTACAAGGAAAAAGGACGGGCAGGATGTTCGAGTGACTAAGGCCATGTGTGATGCAGACTGCTGGATCGCCCACAGACTGATTGTCTCAATGCTCAACTCCCACATTTAGCCCAAGAGACGCTCTCAGGGAAAATGGGCTCCCAAGCGGCTTAACATTTCCAGGTTTACAAGAGAGCCCGTCAGGCAGATCTTCTGTGGAAAGTGGGCCATCCAACTGTTGCAGATAACACCGTTCTTTTCTCTAAACATCAGATTGTATCCTTCCAAGCACGATGCTATTGATGTGATTGACATCAATAGTGATTATTGTTAATGTTTTCAATGACATTGATGTTGTTATTGATGTTATTCATGTTGTTGATGTCGTGTTTGGTTTTGTGTATGTTTTAATTGATGTTATAGATGTTGGTGTCCATGTTGTTGTTCGTGATATTGATATTGTTTTTATGTTGATGCCATTGATTTTGTTGATGTTGTTTTGATGTTATTGATGTTGTTAATTATGTTGGTTATGTTGTCAATATTGGTATCTTCGATGTTTGTAATGTAGGAATTGTCGTTTTGATGTTGTTTGCGAAGCTGTTGTCGATCCCGTTGTTGTTGTTGTTTGTTGTTGCTGCTGCGGCTCACCGGTTATCGGTCTGCAGCACGCTCTGGGCGCGCGAGCTCTCGTCCAGCTCGACGCGCAGCGTGAGCACACGCTCGCTGTCCGCACCTTCGCTCTGCAAGCGCAGCACGCGGTTCTCGTGGCTCAGTCGGATCAAGCGCTCCCTGCACCGCACGAATCACACACGCACACAAACCACGCATCCCACACACACACCACGAGCATCACAGCACACGCATCACGCCATGAGAATCACAACAACCGCCATACGCCACTAAGTGGTGGTGACATCGTCACGACGCTTGTGCCAGGCTAGGTGCACCTTGAGACCCAGGTGCTCCCTACTGTGTCAACTTGCTGTATTTTAGCGCCCGGCGTTTCACTCGTTGTTGTGAGTGTAGCTCCTCTACCCTCCATTGTTGCTGGAGGGCGACTGCCTCCAACTGTCCAGTAGAATCCTTCACGAGCATTCTCCACAGAGGCCGATCTTGACACCGCTGGTACCAGTCATCGGCAAGTCCACTTAGCTCCACATCCTCTTGTACCACATCACTCCATCTCTTCCCTATCAGTCTCGCGCCTATTAAGCCCCCTCTATCCGGCCAAACAAACGTGAATAACTAGACACGTATCACAACACATGAATCACACCTCACGCATTACACCATACATCATACTGCGAGCATCACATGTATCACACACCCCACGAATCACATCCCACGCCACACACCAAGTGAATCACACCACACACCACACCACGCGCATCACTCAAGCACCACATGACACACCACACGCATCACACACACCATAAATCACACCACAAACATCACACAATTCAACACTAAATGCATTATATCAGGCACATCACACGACGAGGATCACCCCATGAGCATATCACGCACATCACACTAGGCACATAACATCATGTGCATCACACCACGCGATTTAAACCGGACATATCACACGACAAGTATCACATCACAAGCATCACACCAGACACCATGCATCACACGACACACCGCACATCATGCATCACACTACAAAACAGATACACCGCGCGCACACATGATATAAGACTGTAAGAGCAGGCCTTGGGAGTCAGGTTGGAACTGTGCAACAGCTGCAAGCTTTGGAAAAATGTAGTCAAAGCAGAACTGTCAAGGGCTGTCAACTTGTTTTTGACACCTCCATTTCCTGCTCAAATGAGCATTGAAGCAGGGATCATCTTCTATTTACAGCCCTGAGCCACTGGGAAAAATTACATAATCCTATGGTAGGGGTGAGTCTCTTCTGTGAACAACCGCCGTTGACTACCCCACCAAATGGTCATCGTTTTACCTCCCCCCCCCCGAAGTGAGGATCGGTTGAGTCAACCCCCAAACCAGAATTTAAACTCGCACCATTTGGATTGTGAGCCGCTCGCCCTGTCACTGCCAAGCTAGTGGTTGCAGTTCGTGGCGTAAAGCGCGACAACGTTGGGGGGCGATGTCAACGTTTAATTCCTGTGTGTTAAATTTCGGTTTAAAGCTTTCGTGACTGCAAGGATTAATCTTCTTTGGTTCTTTCGGTAAAGTCACGTAGAATGAGAATAAAATAATAAATTGATAAAATAAAATAACACAATAATATTCTCACGACGTTTCGGCGACAACACAAGCAGCCTTCATCAGGTGAAGGGGACGAGACTGTCTGGAGGACAGGGCTGGCCTCCAGACAGTCTCGTCCTGATGAAGGCCGCTTGTGTTGTGGCCGAAACGTCGTGAGAATATTATTGTTATTTTATTTTATCAATTTATTATTTTATTCTCATTCTACATGACTTTACCGAAAGAACCAAAGAAGATAACAATAAATCGTTATATATCACAATGATATATGGCGAAAAAAATGGGTGGATTCTTACCCTCAAATTTCAGCACCACGGATAGCTACGGGCCCCGTTCAGACGGACGAGTTTGTCCATGGTCGGAACAGAGGAGGGGGAGAGAGACAGCTGCAAGGCCCTAGCATACTCCATGTTGTAAAACTATACCATTAACCGTGGTGTGAGAGGTATTAAGAGGCAATGCTGGCGAAAGAGCTGCGGTCTGAAGGTCATCGTAAAAATACAATTAATTAAGAACAGAAATGATTTAAAACATCTTTCCAGTGGTTACTAAGCCTGAATCCATCTTCTCGGTTGAAATTGTCTCTGTGCTTGTATATGTGAATGGCCTCATGAACGAATCTCTCATGGTAGCCGGTTGGTTTGCAAAGAACCTCCGTCTTGGAGAAGTCAATGTCATGTGAGCCCACTGAATTATAACAGTGATCTGCCACGGCAGAGGAGTTCGTCCTACCGTGTTTTTCGCCATATAGCATTGTGATATATAACGACTTATTGTTGGTAGCTTAGCTGATTGGAGAATATAGAGTTTATTGATAACATGAAGGTAATTTATATTTTAGTTTGTATTGGTTCACTATATAGTACTGTGAATAGCTCAGATGTGTAGTCATTTCTGTGACCAGTCACTAGCTAATCACTCAGTTATTTCAATGCTAAATTCGCCTAGTTATTTCAATGCTAAATTCTCCTGTTTGATTTGTACTAAGTGCCTCGGTGAATGTGTATGCTCTGACTTTAACGTAGCTATTTCTGTAGCAGTTACAAGCTAATCACTCAGCTATTTCAATGCTAAATTCTATGCTAATTCCATTGTTAAGGGGTGCCTCTGCGGATGTGTATGCCTTAACTTAGCTATTTCAATGCTAAATTCTATGCTAATTCCTTTAACAATGGGTGCCTCTGCGGATGTGTATGCTTTAACTTTTAACATAGCTATTTCTGTGACCAGTCACAAGCTAATCATTCAGCCATTTCAATGCTAAATTATATGCTAATTCCTTTCTCAAGGCGCTTTGTTCCTCTCACACAGCTTAAAGGCCGTGATCTGAACGTGGCTCTTTCACTCCAGCGCTGTCCTACCAGACAGTCTCGCCCCTTCACCTGATGAAGGCCGCTTGTGTTGTGGCCGAAATGTCGTGAGAATATTATTGTGTTATTTTATTTTATCAATTTATTATTTTATTCTCATTCTACGTGACTTTACCGAAAGAACCAAAGAAGATTAATCATTGCAGGATCCTTCTTCATAACTGGAGTGATGGCTTTGCGGATTGTGTAGTCGGAGTAACCATTAGCCTTAAGAGCCTGGTGTACGTGCTTGAGTTCACTGGTAATGTGTTCCTGGTCGGAAATGCATTGGGCTCTATGGAATAGAGTCTTGATGAGGGAGTTCTTCTGGGATGGATGGTGGTGGGAATCCGGTTTCAAGTAAGCATCTGTATGGGTAGCTTTCCTGTAGACAGAGTGGTTCATTGAACCATCATGTCTCCTTTTAATTAAGACATCCAAAAAGAGTAGTTTGCCATCTTTTTTGACCTCCATGGTAAATCTGATGGCTGGGTGTATGGAATTGATGTGGTCGCGGAATTGGTCTAGAGCAGGCTGACCATGTGGCCAGATGACAAAAGTGTCATCCACGTACCTCTTCCATAAGGTCGGGCGTAGAGTGGCAGTCTGGATGGCGTCAGTTTCTAAGTTTTCCATGAATACGTTGGCTACAACCAGAGATAGGGGGGAGCCCATTGGGGTGCCCTCAGTTTGTTTGTAGAAAGTTCCATTCCAGGTGAAGTATGTGTTGGTTAAGCAATGTCTCACTAGGAGGGGTACATCAGTATGCAGTCCTTGATGAACCAGGTCTTCAATGATAGCGATGGTGTCAGGTACCGGGACTTTGGTGAACAAGGACACCACATCAAAACTGACAAGCAGGTCGTCTGGGGACAGGGAAATGCCTTTGATTGTCGATACCAGGTGAGTAGAATTTAGTACCGCAGAGGTGGTTTTTCCAGTGAAAGGTCGCAGTATATAAGCAAGAAAACGTGCCAGTTTATAGGTGGGGAAGTTGATAGTAGAGACGATGGGACGAAGGGGTGTATCTTCTTTGTGTATCTTTGGAAGGCCATATAATCTTGGTGGTCTGGCAGCAGAGGGTTTCAACGAGAACTGTTTGGTCTGATCAATTAATGCTGTTGAATCAGAGATGATTTTGTTCGTTTTGGTAACCAGGCTGTTGGTTATATTCTGTTTTGTCCATGATGACAGTGGCATTGCCTTTGTCGGCTGAGAGGACGACAATATCATCCCTCTTTTTTAATTGAGATAATTCAAAGCGTTCATCTTTGCTGATGTTGCTAGGTGGCAACTTAGCATTTTTGAGGGTTGCAGCGATTTCAGATCTTGCTACGTCTGCTTCTCTATAGCATTGTGATATATAACGACTTATTGTTAGTAGCTTAGCTTAATTGGAGAATATATAGAGTTTATTGATAACATTGAGGTAATTTATATTTTAGTTTTTTATTGGTTTACTATATAGTATTAATTATATAGTGTAGTGTATACCCAGTTACTTTTAATAGCTCAGCTTATTGAAGAATATTTGAGTACAATTATTCTGTGGATGTGTATGCTTTGACTTTAACATAGCCATTTCAGTGACCAGTCACAAGCTAATCACTCAGCTATTTCAATGCTAAATTCTATGCTAATTCCATTGTCAAGGGGTGCCTCTGCGGATGTGTATGCCTTAACTTAGCTATTTCAATGCTAAATTCTATGCTAATTCCTTTAACAATGGGTGCCTCTGCGGATGTGTATGCTTTAACTTTTAACATAGCTATTTCTGTGACCAGTCACAAGCTAATCACTCAGCTATTTCAATGCTAAATTCTATGCTAATTCCTTTGTCAAGGGGTGCCTCTATGGATGTGGATGCTTTGACTTTAACATAGCCATTTCTGTGACCAGTCACAAGCTAATCACTCAGCTATTTCAATGCTAAATTCTATGCTAATTCCTTTGTCAAGGGGTGCCTCTATGGATGTGGATGCTTTGACTTTAACATAGCCATTTCTGTGACCAGTCACAAGCTAATCACTCAGCTATTTCAATGCTAAATTCTATGCTAATTCCTTTGTCAAGGCGCTCTGTTTCTTCTCGCACAGCTTAAAGGTCGTGGTCTGAGCTTGGCTGTGTTCGCTCCAGCGCTGTCCTCCAGACAGTCTCGTCCCTTCACCTGATGAAGGCCGCTTGTGTTGTGGCCGAAACGTCGTGAGAATTTTATTGTGTCATTTTATTTTATCAATTTATTATTTTATTCTCATTCTACGTGACTTTACCGAAAGAACCAAAGAAGATGAATTCCTGTGTGTTGTTGATTGGGCTGGCGGGAGGAGATGACCATATTGTTTAGCACAACCACAGAAACACACACACAAACCTGAACTCTGCAGGGACCATCTCTGCCTCCAGAGCCTCCAGTGAGACTTGGCTCCCATGGAGAATTCCACTGCCCTCTGTCAAAAGAGCAGAGGAATTGCAAATCAGTCGACTGCAACGGAGCTCTGTTGAAACACGGTAGCAGGAAGCCCACGATGCTGCGGGCAGCCACTACCTCCATTCGCTCTACCTTTCTACCCCATCCCCCCACACCCAACCCTCTCCAACCCCCTCAGCTACGTTAACTTTGTGACCTCCTGATTCCTGCACACATTACGAATGCCACTGCTCTGCCACTTCCATCCTCCTTGTCTCCGTGATAGAACATGTTGCCATGAGGTAATTGCATCAAGTTCTCTCTTGTTCTGATCACCTCACTGAGTCAAACTCTGTCGTAATTTACTCCTCCCATTATTGTCTCCAGTTCAGCAAGGACTGATTCGCCAGAGTGCGTGTGTTGCACCTAGCAAAGGTCAATCCAGAAGGTGTCCAGTTCCTACCCAGTGATCCCTGTGATACCTCTTTATACACAGTGATTCCTGTTTATACACAGTGATTCCTTTTCCCACCCAGTGGTCCCCATTACCATTCAGTGATCCCTGTTCCTGGCCATTGATTCCTGTCCCTACTAAGTGATTGTTGTTTGTATTCAGTAATCCCTGTGATACCTGTTTATACGCAGTGATTCCTCTTCCAGGCCAGTGCTTCCTGTTCCCACCCAGTGATCCCCATTACCATCCAGTGATTCCTGTTCCAGGCCATTGATTCCTGTCCCTACTAAGTGATTGTTGTTTGTATTCAGTGATCCCTGTTTGCACCCAGTGATTCCTTTTCCTACTCAGTTTCAAGAGCTAATGGGGACTGGGTGGCCATGGTTTGGGTGCATCAGTCATGCTGGGGAGGGGGGCAGCTGTTGTTTGACCATACTTCACCAAGATTGTCAGTGGGGGTAAGTGAAGGGGGCAAATATTTGTCTCACCTCTCGCCGAGTGTCCGACTCCACCACCTCCCCCCCCCTAGTGTTCCACCACGCTCTCCCTTCCTGTTAAGTGCTGTCCCCCATGCTACGGTAAGTGTTCATCAAGACTGACACAGATTCTGCAGGGTATGTGAAAGGTCAAATTCAGCAGAAAAGTTTGGACAGGGAGATCCACTATCACCAAACAACATCGTCACATACTTGGAAAGAGTGATGAATGCTATTCAGGACAACGGCACAGTAATATCTGTGCAAGGAGAAAGAATAAAAAAGCCGAGATTCGCGTACGATATAAATCTGATGGAAGATAGCTGCGTAGTACTTCAGGAAAGTGTTCATGCGCTGAATAAGTCAGAAAAGGATGCAGGACTGAGGATTAATGTGGAAAATACAAAAACTATGGTGTTTGGAAGGCAGGACATTGAGAAAGAAGTAATAATATAAAGTTGCAAGATTGTGAATGTAAAGGAATTTGAATACTTGGGAAGTCGAAAGACATGGGATAACTACTCCACGAAAGACATAAGACCAAGGATTGCAAAAGCAAAATGAATAATGACAGGATTCAATAACATCTGGAGAAGCAAGAAAATCAGCGACAAGACTAAACTGAACATCTTGAGAATATGCGTGTTCAAAACAGCTTTGTATGCCTGCAAGACTTGGACATTGAAAAAGACTGACAGAGATAACATATTGGCTCTAAGAAGGATACGGCATCTAAACTGGACCCAAAGAGTGACCAGCGTATACGTAAGAAAAAGGTTGCACACAGAAGAAGACCTGATGATGCAGGCAGTGATGAGAAGGAAACTGGCAGCACTATTTGGACACACACGGAGGATGGGCAACAGAAACATTTTAATTGTGTTGTTCAGAAAAATGGAAGGAACCGGAAAGAGAGGACGATCTAACAGAGAACGGCTTGATGAGAACATCAGAGATTGATGCCAGAAAGATGTGGCACTACTTGAGAATATTGACACAAGACAGAGGAAAGTGTAAAAAAAGACAAAATATGCAGTGGACTCCTACAGGCTATTTGCCCATGGATTGTGATGATGTAGTGTTCACACAGGAGTCCTGCTCGGAGAACGAGTGGGGGCTAGATTTGCCTGAACATGGTACCGTGCTGTGCACTGTGACCTCACCCAGCTGACTCTGCTGGATCTGTGTGCAGCGTAGCTCCTCGTTGGTCTCCCTCAGTGCATCCCTTTCGGCCACCGCTCTCTGTGATGGGGGGGGGGGGTAACACAACCACACCGGTGGGAATACTGAAGGGAGAACATCGCAGAAACAAAGCTCCGGCCTTCTGTTACCACCTTACAGAGGCACATATATCACAGAGTGCGGTAACATTGGTGGCAGCGTAGCGTTAACACTCGTGCCGCACAGCAATATGAGCCTGGGCTCAATTCCCGACTCGGGTGCCTTTTTGCATGCAGTATGTTCTCCTCCTTGTTGTTCATGGGTATTCTCTGGGATTTCCATTTTTTTCCCGTTGCTAAGCTCACACACAATATAACTGGTATTGGTCAATCAATGGTGAAGAATTACCAGCAAATTACTCAATTTAGATTATGCAAAGCAGCAACATCGCCCCCTTTTGCGAAAACCTGGCTGGACCCTCCTGACAAAGTTTTCACTCAGTGAGGCTTCCCTGGGTAAACAAGTAGTAATAGCCATTGTAAACACCCGGTACACCTCAATTATAAACGCCAGGCTGCAGATATTCCTACACCGATTCCCTCGCTTTCACTGCCCTCACCAAAACCCACAGCGGAGCAGCCGTGCAGTTGGTGTTAGCATCGTCTCCGTGGGCTCTCGCCTGGCCAATTGATTGAAACACCTCACGCAATTACTGCCGATCCCCCCAATGACCGACTTGCCCACTGCACTGCCACCGATCTCGTCTGATCGCACAAATGAAGCGAGTTTGAGCTCCGAAGGTGCTCAGACGGATGACCGCTACCGCCGTGCGTGCTAGGTTGTCACAGACGTCAGCGGGGCTGCACTGCGTCAGCAGAGGGAAGTGCAGCAAAATTCATTGCCGTACTGCACTTCTACGCTCTCACATCTGCAACGGCCCGGCGTGACAGCGTTTGGTGTTGATGTGTCTAGTCTGGAGTCTAATAGGGAGTCTAATGTGAGTAATCACTGGACGTAAAACTGCTTCTAAACCCAGGGTGTTGCGCACGAGGTCAGTTGACCTCTAAATTGTCCATTGTTCAATCTTTGATGGTGCCCTTCATAAGGCAGCATCTGCCACCTTTGTGCCATTGTTTATCCGGATAACCTCCATCTCTCCTCCCAACTCCCAACTCTGCAGGGCCTCCAGACTCTGCGCGGCAACATCTCCCACATCCGCCTCCGCTGGCGCGACACTACTCTACAACTCCATCGCAACTCACCTCGATTACGCAAACTCCTCTGTGGCCTCCCAGGATCCCTCTCCAGAAAATTCCCAAGTAATTAGAATGTCACTTGGCTCTTAAATTGTACCCGCAATTGAATTTGTGTCACCCCAATCACCACAATACCTCCACTGTATCTGAATATAATGAAGCTAAACTAAACTAGTTTTACATCTTTATATTCTTGGTCCTTTTGGTAAAGTCATGTAGAAAGGAAACTATAAAATAATAAAAATATAAAACAGTAAAATTATTATTTTATTGTTTCCCTTCTACGTGACTTTACCGAAAGAACCAAGAATATGAATCCCTGCAGTCACGAAAGCTTTAAATCAAAATTGAGTTTTACATCATAAATGATAACCCAATGAAGTGGAAATGTATAGCAGCCAAATACTCTAAATGCATGTTTCTAAATGTGGAGGTAAAAAACAGGATTCGGAGAAAAATCCACACGACCAAGGAGAGAACACGCAAACTCCAATCATACAGGGAGTCAGGGTCGGAATGGAACCTATGACCTCTTGTATACCAGACGAGGTCATTACATCTCGCCACCACTGCTCTGTGATTTTAAGATTATATTCAGTTTTACCTCCATCATTCCTTTTTAACACAGCTTGCTTTCTTTCCTCTCTCTCTATTGCCATACTCTCGTACTCCTACCCACTGCTACTACACCAACCAAGGCCCCCGTGCTAAGGACTCAGTAAAACCGGTCCCAGTCAGTGGTACTCTTCTCTGCTGCCCGCACCGATGGAACTCCCCGCCCCATCCCCAGGGTGATTCACCAAGTGGACTCCCTACCCCTCTTTAAGTCCAGGATGCAGGCCAAGTGTTCTAACCATTACAGCAGACAGCATTCCCAGCAGGGGCAAGTGCCTGCTAGTACCATGAGACCCTGCTGAATGTGAATGTCACTCACCTCGTGCAAGCACGTGGGAAGGGTGAGATGCTTAAGAGTCAATGGAGAGCAAAACCTTATCCAATAGATTGTCAGCGCTCATAATGGAAGAGGGCTAGAGCAGATTATGTCAAACTAGAGGTCTACTCCATGTAACTGCATTGAGAGGCTGGAATATCTGATTCCTCCAAAAGGGCACACAGTGTGTGCGGTGGAAAATAAATAAGGCAGAGTAGATTAAAAAAACACCCACCTTGAAGTGTGCAGTGTTAATACAACACAGTTGTGCAAGTTAATAAAAAAATTATTGGCTGCTGTTTGTGAATCCACTGCTGGACAGCTTGGGGAAGTATGCTCAAACACCCTTAAGGCATGGAGGGGCCTCCAGTTGTTTGTACTTACTCGCAGACCCAACAACTGCCACCGTGTTTGCAGAATCTGTCATTTCAATCCCCCCAGAGCCCACACAGACAGATGGCTTGTACTTTGGCGAGCTTCCGCAAGGCTTGCCCTTAAATGTCTGGCACCCAATGACATCTAGACTATCTCGTGAGTGACGTTGTTGATGGGCAGTGGTGGTGGTGGTGGTGCGATGGTGTCACCTCTTTCTCCTTGGTGAGCGCGTCGCTTCGCTCCTGTAGCCGCTTGTGTTCAAACTCGAGTCGATCGGCGCGGCGGCTCTCCTCGGAAAGCCGCGCATGCAGCTCCTGTACCTACACCCGGCAACAACATCACCATCATCACCACCACCACCACCACCACGGACGTCATCAAATACAAATATCTCACGTATAGCCTTGACAGGCTTTTGGGACAAGTGTTGTTAGTGAGTACCTATGAAGGGCGGCACGGCACATGGTGGGGTGGGTGGCCAGCACCCCGCCCGACTGCCTTGGCGTCTCCAGTGGTGATGTTTACACACTGCACCAGGCACTCATTTGAGGCCGAATCGGCCTACGAGAGGCCCAGGACCAATTCAGATAATCATCACTTGTGGAGGCTGTAAGTGGGAACGGACTAGGATCACTGGCTTCGTAGCACAGTGCTCTCCCAAACCATCGCCATCAACATCACCACCATTATCGATATCACCACTACCATCATATTATCAACACTGATTCAACCTCTAAGTTATGACTGTCATGACTGGTCCAGTGATGCGGCCCAGCGGTGGCACGTTCGCCGCTTGTTGGAGAGTTGAGCGGTCTGCCTCCCCCCCCCACCCCCCCGATTAATACCGCTGATGATCTTGTGCCGTCCGCTTCACAGTGGACATTAACGATGCCATGACGACATTTGTAGAAGAGGAGACGACTGCGTGTAGGCATCGTGGTCCGAGACGACGTTGCGGGCACCTGCTGCTTGTAGGCGTGCAGCTGCGCACGCGCCGCGTTGGCCCTGCGCAGCTCCTCCTCGAGCGCCAGCGTGTTGTGCAGCTGCTGCGAGCTGCGCTCCTCCAGCAGCCGCACCTGGCGCCGCACATCGCCCAGGTCGTCAAGCTTGCGCCGGTATGACTCAACAGCCGCCTCGAGCCTCGCCGCGCGGTCCGAAGAGTGCCTGTCAAACACACATACACGTACATTAATAACAACCGCCATCCGCCACTAAGTGGCGGTGACATCACCACGACGCTTGTGCCAAGCTATGTGCACCCTGAGGCCACGTGAAGTGGCGAACGCCCGCTGGCAGGTCACGGGGCAGACCCAGGTGCCACGGGTCGACTAACTGAGATCACTGGCTGATGCACCACCTGTGCCCCCTACTGTGCCAACCTGCTGTGCTTTAGCCACCCGGCGTTCCGCTCGTTGTTCTGAGCGTCGCTCCTCCGCCCTCCGTTGTTGTTGGAGGGCGACTACCTCCAACTGCCCAGTAGCATCCTTCACGAGCCTCCTCCACAGAGGCCGATCTTGACACCGCTGGTACCAGTCATCGGCAAGTCCACTCAGCTCCACATCCTCCCGTATATCACGCCATTTCTTCTCTAGCCCGTGCCGCGCCCATTTAACCCACTCGATCCGGCCGAACAAAAGCTGTTTAAGCATGCGGTGGCTGGGCATACGGGTTACATGACCCAGACAATGCAACCATGCCTGCCGAAGGAGCTCACCAATGGGACGTTGTCCAGATCTTTGTAAGCTCCTCACACAATCCAGCCTGGTTAAACGCAGGATGGATCGTAGGCAGGCCAGTCTAAATGTTTCTAACCGGTGAAGATGTTTCATGAGGGGGGTCCACGTTTCGCAAGCATAGAGAAGGGAGGGAATGACTGTGGCCGAGAAGACCTGAAGCTTCGTGCGGAGCGACAGACCAGGTAGCTTCCACACAGCGTTACGCAACCAATGAAAAGATAATGCTGCTCAATTGATTTTGAGTGAGACCTTTGCTGCTGTTAAACCGGAGCCGGTCATGAGCGCACTGCCCAGATATGGGAAACTCTCCACCACTGCCCTATCACCAATTGGGAGTTGTGGGGGTGGAGTGTCCTATGGTACAAAATACCCAGGCAGATGCTTCATTTTGGTGGGGATGATGGTAAGGCCCCACCTCTTAGTGGAAAGCTCCAAGTTCAGCAGCAGTGCCTCCACTCCTCTGAGTGAACAGCAATTACCAGATAATCGGCATACATTACATGGTTGAGCAATAGGGAGCCATCCCTTGACCGCACCCAGGCATCGATCAGCCTCCCATTGGACAGTGAGGGAAAAAAGTATTTGATCCCCTGCTGATTTTGTACGTTTGCCCACTGACAAAGAAATGATCAGTCTATAATTCTAATAGTAGGTTTATTTGAACAGTGAGAGACAGAATAACAACAACAAAATCTAGAAAAACGCATGTCAAAAATGTTAAAAATTGATTTGCATTTTAATGAGGGAAATAAGTATTTGACCCCTCTGCAAAACATGACTTAGTACTTGGTGGCAAAACCCTTGTTGGCAATCACAGAGGTCAGACGTTTCATGTAGTTGGCCACCAGGTTTGCACACATCTCAGGAGGGATTTTGTCCCACTCCTCTTTGCAGATCTTCTCCAAGTAATTAAGGTTTCGAGGCTGATGTTTGGCAACTCGAACCTTCAGCTCCCTCCACAGATTTTCTATGGGATTAAGGTCTGGAGACTGGCTAGGCCACTCCAGGACCTTAATGTGCTTCTTCTTGAGCCACTCCTTTGTTGCCTTGGCCGTGTGTTTTGGGTCATTGTCATGCTGGAATACCCATCCACGACCCATTTTCAATGCCCTGGCTGAGGGAAGGAGTTTCTCACCCAAGATTTGACGGTACATGGCCCCGTCCATCGTCCCTTTTATGCGGTGAAGTTGTCCTGTCCCCTTAGCAGAAAAACACCCCCAAAGCATAATGTTTCCACCTCCATGTTCGACGGTGGGGATAGTGTTCTTGGGGTCATAGGCAGCATTCCTCCTCCTCCAAACACGGCGAGTTGAGTTGATGCCAAAGAGCTCCATTTTGGTCTCATCTGACCACAACACTTTCACCCAGTTGTCCTCTGAATCATTCAGATGTTCATTGGCAAAATTCAGACGGGCATGTACATGTGCTTTCTTGAGCAGGGGGACCTTGCAGGTGCTGCAGGATTTCAGTCCTTCACGGCGTAGTGTGTTACCAATTGTTTTCTTGGTGACTATGGTCCCAGCTGCCTTGAGATCATTTACAAGATCCTCCCGTGTAGTTCTGGGCTGATTCCTCACCGTTCTCATGATCATTGCAACTCCACGAGGTAAGATTTTGCATGGAGCCCCAGGCCTAGGGAGATTGACAGTTATTTTGTGTTTCTTTCATTTGCGAATAATCGCACCAACTGTTGTCACCTTATCACCAAGCTTCTTGGCAATGGTCTTGTAGCCCATTGTGTAGGTCTACAATCTTGTCCCTGACATCCTTGGAGAGCTCTTTGGTCTTGGCCATGGTGGAGAGTTTGGAATTTGATTGATTGATTGCTTCTGTGGACAGGTGTCTTTTAAACAGGTAACAAGCTGAGATTAAGAGCACTCCCTTTAAGAGTGTGCTCCTAATCTCAGCTCGTTACCTGTATAAAAGACACCTGGGGGCCAGAAATCTTTCTGATTCAGAGGGGGTCAAATACTTATTTCCCTCATTAAAATGCAAATCAATTTATAACATTTTGACATGCGTTTTTATGGATTTTTGTTGTTGTTATTCTGTCTCTCACTGTTCAAATTAACCTACCAGTAAAATTATAGACTGATCATTTCTTTGTCAGTGGGCAAACGTACAAAATCAGCAGGGGATCAAATACTTTTTTCCCTCACTGTATCTGTACCAGATGGAAATTCCTCCGGTACAGCTATTGAAGGCTTCACGAATAACGTGGTCGAAATAGATGTTAAATAATGTGGGAGCCAGAGGACATCCCTGTCGCACCCCAAGGTGTACAGGGAATGGCTCCGACTCCCGGCCATGTAGTTTTACCCAGGCCCGCTCACCATCATGAAGGTCCTTAATGATCATGAGCAGAGAGTCAGGGACTCCGAAAGCACGAAGAACAACCCAGAGCCCAGGCCTACTGATGGCATCATAGGCCTTGGCCAGGTCAATAAATCAGAGCTGTAGGTCTTGTTGGTATTCCCTACACCTCTGCTGTAGCAGATGGACAGAAAATATGGCATCTGTGCAGGACCGCCCTTTCCTGAAACCGCAATGGGGTTCCGCAAGCCTCTCCTCAGCATGCCTAGCAAGGTGATGTTGAATAATCCTTGCCAGGAACTTTCCCGGCATACTGAGGAATGAGATGCCCCTGTAGTTGTTACAGTCTGTGCGGTCCCCCTTCTTAAAGAGGGAGAACACCAGGGCATCCTTCCAATCCTGCGGAACCTGTCCAGTGGTCCAGACTGTTGTTATGTCATGTAGGGCAGTCTGTGCACAAACGCCACCCTCCCTCAGCATTTCGCTTGGGAGATCATCTCTGCCCGATGCCTTTCCTGGTCTCAGACACTGGATTGCCTTCAATACTTCCTCAACAGATGGCACCTCAGCCAGCCACTCACAGGGGGTGACTTCTTCCAATATTTGAGGCACCGCAGCCTCGGCAGGGTCATCCCCACTTTGTCCCACATTATTTTCCAGGCTGAGGGATTTCCCCTCCCCCAGGACCTCACAGAAATGCTCAGCAATTCTGCAAACCTGTTCCTGGGGTCAGAGATTGGATCACCGTTCTTTCCCCTAATGATGGTAATAGGTGTGGCGCTGCAGGTTACTTTGATGGAATTAAAGAGCGATTTGTGATCGCGGGTCATTGAGGCAGACTCCCTGTCCTCAACAACCTGCGACCACCACCCATGCTTGCAGCGCCTCACGGCTCTCCGAACCTCCGAGCGAAGGCTGCGGTAAGCCTCATTCTCCGATGTGGGATGCTGTAGCCGATGAGGGTGGGCCTGTTGATTTTCTCAGCCATCCTGAACACTTCCTCTGTCAGGCAGGGTCTCTGGGGAGGTCTGGACCGTGTACCCAAAGCAGCCATTGCAGCTGCATGAGTCACAGTCGTAAACCTCGCCCATTAACCCTCGACATCTGGAGTGGGGGACGATGCCAACCCCAGCTGCAAGCGATGATGAAATTCTCGCTTGAAACTTTCATCAGCTAGCTGAGACCATGCCACTAAGGGTTTGAATGGGGTCCTGGGAGTACACCCACCAGTGGAGTGGAAGAATGGAAGGCGCATCTTACAGATGACAAGTCGATGGTCAGTGGGCAGATCAGCTCCACGGTCGGTCCTGGTGTCAAGCGCATGGGCCCGCATCCGCTGTTCCATCACTACGTAGTCCAGCAGATGTTCTTGTTTGGACCCGGCATGCATCCATGATGTTGTGTGGATGTGCCGATGCCGGAACAGCGTGTTGGTAATTACAAGCTCATGGGCTGCACAAAAAACTAGCAGCCTCCTGCCATTGTTATTGAGCTGATCTGGCCCATGCCCTCCAATCACTCCAGACCAGGTACCAGCATCATGACCAACTCGGGCATTGAAGTCACCCAACAAGAGGACTCTATCCCGAGGGGCCACTTTAGCTCGCATCTGTGACAGGTCATAGAAGGCATCTGCCTGCATCCCTCCACGGATGTTCGTCTTCGGTGGGGGCATAAGTAACCACGACCACCACTCCTCACCTCTGGTTAATGGGAAGGCGAGTCCAAAGTAGCCTGGGGCTTACAGCTTCCCACATCTCACCGCCACGCTCCCACGCCCGCTTCATTATTTTGTTTAGAAGAGCCACTCCCTGTTGTTTGGCAGTCTCCTGTCCCGAGAAGAGGACTGTCCACCCCTCATGGTAGCAGGAGCCGGAGCCGGTCCACCGGACCTCCTGAATACCAGAGAGATCCAGGCGGTATTGGTCCAGCTTCCGACAGAGGGGCAGCCTCTCCTCCGCAGTGAGCGTTCGAACATTCCACGGGGCCACACGTAGTGGTTTTTTGTTGTTTCTGGAGGAGCCCCGAGGGTAAGGATTCAGTCTACTGGCTCCGCCAAATGTGGTTTGGCCAGGAGACGTCATAGACGCCTGTCCCCCTGGGGCCTCCGGCACAAGCTTATTAATTAAAAAATTCAGTCGTGGTTTAGTGGTAATTAATTTAAGGTGGAGGGGTTACCAGCCCCTCGCACCCGTCCAGAGCCCCCAATTGGCCGCTGTGGTGGTTACAAACGCCATGAGGGGAAAGGCCATTCTAAATTGGCCCTCCAACCCACGGCACTGCCCACCACAGCGTTGCCGTCCGGCACCACAAGGAGGTAGGGGGTTGTTTTTGCCCACTACACACACGTGCGCACACACATGCGCTCACGCACAAGCACACCCGCCACACAGCAGTCACGTGCGCAACTTTATGGTCATGTTAACGTGGCAGGTTCTTAAGATTTAAGTGCACTTTTGAGGTTGGTGGGAGAGATGATGAGAAAATACAATAATTGTAGGTTAACACGTAGGCTTTCACGACCAATATCAACCATAAGAGGGTTAATTTGGTTAGATCGCGTAAATGTCGTTAAAACCCACCACCACCCGACACAGCCAACTAGTAAGGGTTGTCACGTAAACAGAACGTGCCAATTCGTCTCTAGTACAGCACACCGGTGTGTTGGAGAGCCAACACACCGGTTGGCTGTATCGGGTGGTGGCGGATTTTAACGACACATTTATATATTTACGGGATCTAACCTAACAAAAACCTCTATTATGAATTTTAGGAAAGTCAACACTTGCCACTGCCATATATGAGCACTGCCTCATTGTCGAATTGAGCAGCAAATAACTTTTGACTGTGTTTTCAGTAAAACCAACCGGGGGCCAGAACGGATAATCTGGACGATGGAGGAGATGTATCCGGTAACAGGTGGGATTCACTGATGGGTGGGTGAGTATGTGAGTAAGCAGATGCAGATAGGAAAGTAGCCAGGGAGAAATGCATGCAGGTGGGTAGACTGGTACAGTGAGGGAAAAAAGTATTTGATCCCCTGCTGATTTTGTACGCTTACCCACTGACAAAGAAATGATCAGTCTATAATTTTAATGGTAGGTTTATTTGAACAGTGAGAGACAGGATAACAACAAAATCCAGAAAAATGCATGTCAAAAATGTTATAAATTTGATTTGCATTTTCATGAGGGAAATAAGTATTTGACCCCCTCTCAATCAGAAAGATGTCTGGCTTCAAGGTGTCTTTTATACAGGTAATGAGCTGAGATTAGGAGCACACTCTTAAAAGGAGTGCTCCTAATCTCAGCTTGTTACCTGTATAAAAGACACCTGTCCACAGAAGCAATCAATCAATCAGATTCCAAACTCTCCACCATGGCCAAGACCAAAGAGCTCTCCAAGTATGTCAGGGACAAGATTGTAGACCTACATAAGGCTGGAATGGGCTACAAGACCATTGCCAAACAGCTTGGTGAGGTGACAACAGTTAGTACGATTATTCGCAAATGGAAGAAACACAAAAGAACTGTCAATCTCCCTCGGCCGGGGGCTCCATGCAAGATCTCACCTCGTAGAGTTGCAATGATCATGAGAACGGTGAGGAATCAGTCCAGAACTACACGGGAGGATCTTGTCAATGATCTCAAGGCAGCTGGGACCATAGTCACCAAGAAAACAATTGGTAACACACTACGCCGTGAAGGACTGAAATGCTGCAGCGCCCGCAAGGTCCCCCTGTGCAAGAAAGCATATATACATGCCCGTCTGAAGTTTGCCAATGAACATCTGAATGATTCAGTGGGCAACTGGGTGAAAGTGTTGTGGTCAGATGAGACCAAAATGGAGCTCTTTGGCATCAACTCAACTCGCCGTGTTTGGAGGAGGAGGAATGCTGCCTATGACCCCAAAAACACCATCCCCACCGTCAAATATGGAGGTGGAAACATTATGCTTTGGGGGTGTTTTAATGCTAAGGGGACAGGACAACTTCACCGCATCAAAGGGACGATGGACGGGGCCCATGTACCGTCAAATCTTGGGTGAGAACCTCCTTCCCTCAGCCAGGGCATTGAAAATGGGTCGTGGATGGGTATTCCAGCATGACAATGACCCAAAACACACGGCCAAGGCAACAAAGGAGTGGCTCAAGAAGAAGCACATTAAGGTACTGGAGTGGCCTAGCCAGTCTCCAGACCTTAATCCCAGAGAAAATGTGGATGGAGCTGAAGGTTCGAGTTGCCAAACGTCAGCCTCGAAACCTTAATGACTTGAAGATCTGCAAAGAGGAGTGGGACAAAATCCCTCCTGAGATGTGTGCAAACCTGGTGGCCAACTACAAGAAACGTCTGACCTCTGTGATTGCCAACAAGGGTTTTGCCACCAAGTACTAAGTCATGTTTTGCAGAGGGGTCAAATACGTATTTCCCTCATTAAAATGCAAATAAATTCATAACATTTTTGACATGCGTTTTTCTGGATTTTTTTGTTGTTATTCTGTCTCTCATTGTTCAAATAAACCTACCATTAAAATTATAGACTGATCATTTCTTTGTCAGTGGGCAAACATACAAAATCAGCAGGGGATCAAATACTTTTTTCCCTCACTGTAGGTGGACAGATATACACACACAGTGGGACACTCAGGCAGACAGGTGATCTCCACATTCTATGATCAGTGCATTATGAACGCTGCAGCGTTTTTCAAACTTGTTTGAAATAATACGACGGTGCAAGACCTGAGCACATCCATCTCATCCTTGAGCGCCTGCGCCTCCTCAGCCAGGCTCGTCAGCTGCTGGTTCTTCTGCTCCAGCACCGACACGTTGCGCTCCAGCTCCTCGCAGCGCAGGCGGAACTCGTCTCGGCTGCCCTCCAGCCTAGACCAACGAGAGGCCCGGCATGCAGCGGGGGTCACGCTCCGCAGGCGGGCGGGCAAAGTGTGGCCCACCATCTCCCAGGCAGCACTCGGGATGGTGAAAGCAACGGGCATGGCCAGCGAAAGCTGACCGAGGCTGCGACAGCGCACGAGGCCAGGTGGCTCAGCGTTAGAAAGAGTTAAAATCCTGGCTGGGAGTTAACTCTGCCCGTCGTCCCTCTGGAGGTCAACAAAAATGTGCACCATTTTGCGGGGAAGTCAACAGCGGTCATCCTACGGAGACTCGCCCCCATCATGGCAATGCAGAAATTCCACCACCGGCTCAGGGCTGAAAAAATGAGAGATGAGAAGCAGCTCAATGTTTATTTGAGCAAGAGATGACCCTGACTGTAAATAGCAGATACAACTCGCGAGTCACGCTAAGGTGCAGACTTCGATCAGGTTTGTGTTTGGCACAAGTAAGTCTCACCGGAACAGCTCTTCGTGCAAGGCCTCCAGCTGCTGGCTCCGCACCACGGGAGACCGCACCGCCTCCTCCTCCAGGGTTCCCCATTGGCCGCTCTGCTCGCGGAGCAGCTTGTTCTCGGCCAGGACCTTCCCCCGGTCATCCTGAAGGCTCTCCAGCTAAAACGCGGGGGGGGGGGGGAGTGGCAGTGGTAAAAGCTCGAAAGCAGAGCAGAATGACAAACATGGGCCCAATACATCATGGGACCTCCTTTGCCAGTACCAAAATATAATAGGGTTTTCCCCTTTTTTCTGGCAACAAAACTGAAACCTTTTTACAATTAATCATATCTGCATTAACCACAATACTTGTGGTCAGAATGCAAAAAAATATTGACTCTGATAATATATGCATTGTCCTTGAAACTGATTGGTCCACACCAGAAACAGCTTTCTTTTGAGCCTCGTCTCAAACGGTGTTAGACCAGAGGACGCCAAAATGCGTACAGCTCAAAGACAATGCACTATCAGAGTAATGAGAGCTCGGGGCAAGCATCTACATCAGGGGTGGGGAACGTCCGGCCCACGGGCCGTATAAGGCCCGCGAAATAATTTGGTCTGGCCCTGCCAAAGCAATTGCAGGTGGGACTCGAAATTCAATAAATCTAGGAGCAAACCTGGAAAAGCAGTTGTGAGTAGCAACATCATCAATACCAGCTAACATTACACGCCTCACCAAAGAGAAGCAGATGCTGCCATCACATTAGGGGTGAGTGAATTAAATGTTTGACCAAATATAACAGGCTAATTTTTAAGTTGATAATTTTGTATGGACCGCGAATGATGTTATAAATATCCAAATGGCCCTTGGCAGAAAAAAGGTTCCCCACCTCTGATCTACATCATGGGACCTCCTTTGCCAGTACCAAAATATAAGAATAGGTTTTTCCCCTTTTTTCTGGCAACAAAACTAAAACCTTTTTACGATAAATCATCTCTGCATTAACCACAATACTTGTGGTCAGAATGCAAACAAAAAACAGACTCTGATATATGCATTGTCCTTGAAACTGATTGGTCCACATTTTATACCTAGGGAAATTATTAAAGGAGGATTGGGATCAAAACAATGAGGCGGTAAACAATCTGAATGTAACACCGTTAGAAGAGCTGAAGTTCTTATACAATTGGCGACACAGCTGCATGACATTTTGGTAATAGGTATGTGCACATGGCCACTAACTATGCAGACTGTCTGGAAACAGGCTACACAGACCGGTGTGTGGCTATGGGCATCTTGGTACACTATGTATGTTGCCCTTCTTTCGCACCATATGTAGCCAACCATGCTAATCGGAGGTGTGAGGGAAGAACAAACTAAACACAAAACACAGTTCTAAAGAAGTGGCACCGTGGCTACGTGTGGCTGCGCAGCGGACAGCCATTCCGCCATACAGTTGAGGACTGTCCCTTATGGCGGACAGACGGTGGGGTAAGAAGGCCGACTGATCTCAGTGACGTAGTGAAGATCAAGTAGTTGAGTGACTTGGATATGAAACTTCAATTACAAATGCAGGAACAAGAAGCATACAAATGTGTCTCACAGAGAGAGGTATCACTCACTGGATCTTGCCAGCTCTGACATGAATCAGAAACACTGGCAAAGAAAATGGAACAAAATCTGAAAAGTGCACAAAACGTGGGTAAATGCAAGCTTGGAATTACACGAAGTGACAGATTGAGGAACAAATGCAAATCCGACATCTTACAATGACCATTTCCTTCACCGTTACGTGAAGTGGCTATGAGCAGGCCATATTACCAGAAGATATGGACTAGTAACTGAGAGGTACAAGTTATAGGAAAGTGAAAATTTCTGGAATTTAAATGTTGCAAGAAAGCAACATTTAAATTCCAGGATTCAAGCCGAGGCAGATGAGATGGTGCTGCTCGTACGCAGGACTGAGGTCGGGCCATCGAGACAAACTCGCAGTGACACTCTGCAGTCTGCGTGGGAGCTTAAGAGCTGACATGAGCTGGGATGACACTACGAGGGCAGGGATGGGATGCAGACTGTGCTACAGCTGAGGGTTCTCACAGAAGGAAGCGACGTCCGAGTGCGGCAGCATCGAGAGTACCAAAGATAATACATATTTTTTTGAGTCAGATCCCATGAGTGAAATACATGCCATACACCCTCCTACACCCGACATAGCCAATCGACATTTCACAATCGTGAATTGTTAAATGTTGTGGATTGCTCTCCAATACACCAATGTGCTGTAGCACTAATACACTGCCACGTTTGTTCTCGTGTCTTTATGAATTGGCTGTGTCAGGTGGAGGAGGGGTGCATGATAAAGAGTAAATATTACTTACATAATCTAACCCAAAAATCAATTACCAATCATATTGGTCGTGAAAGCCAATGTGACAGATATCTAAACCGATGTTATTCTTCATGACATAATTCAACCTGTTAAGTGGGCTTGGCCGGGACACGTCGTGAGTGGGGATGATGGGACGATGGCCAAGAGTAATAGTGGAGCAGCAGCCAAGGCATGGAACAAGAGGGCATCGACCAGGAGATGGAAGCGATGAAATCAGTTTATGGACGGATGCTATGTGGATTGTTACATCGCAGGATCGTGAGAGGTGGCGGTGGTGTGGGGAGGCCTTCATTCAGCAATGGATAGACTCTGGTTGCTTATATTGAGCAATCTATATTTTCAACATTTTGTACAATTGCGCCTTCATGAGTATTGTACTCACTCTTGTACCTGTATCTCTGCGTCCGTATTATCAACAGTTTTGCTTACAACAGAGAATTTGTTTCTCACCTTGCTGTCAGTTATATTTTACTATAGTTAAACTTCACGCAAGAAAGCCTAAATGCGTCTCAATATTTGCTAAAAGTGGCGACAAATGCTGTGTTTCCCATCACGCTGAGACCTCACTGTGCATGCAGTGTTCACACAATAACACGTTTTCTCTGTAACGTACTTCCATTAGGGAATGTTTTTCACATAATACGGAACACTCAGTGTTGTAACGCGAAACGGGCAGTGTTGTAACGTGAAACGCGCATCGTTATAAGGTGGAACATGCACCGTTATCACGTGGAATGCGCATCGCTATAACGTGGAAGACGCACCATTCTGTTGAACACGCACTGTTATAACGCGGAACACGCACCGCTATAACGAGGACCGCGCACCGCTATAATGTGCAACGCACTTGAGCTGCGTGGCTGAGAATACAGTGCATGGAATAATACAGTAACACGGCAGCGTACCTTCAGTTGTTTATACCACCATCTCACTGCATCTATGTACATCGTATCTCGCCAAACTTTATCGCTACATTATTTATGGGGAAATTGTTTTCGCTTAACGTGTTTGTCACTTAATGTGGCACTTTTCAGGAATGCATCAACCGTGCTAAATGAGGACTTACTGTACAGTAAATTGCCAGTCATTTTCCCGTTGAGCATGGTACCAGCACACAACGACCTACTCTTCTTTGAATGATGCCACAGGATCTTTATTGTTTTATTATTTTTTTAATTGAACAATAGCCTGGTAAAAGTTCACTTTGAGGAGACGGCGCATATATTATGGTTGATGGGCCCACACTATCACCCAAGGTGGCCAGCCGGATTCGAAGAGGGAGCCGTCTGCATAAGCAGCGAACGCGCCACCACCGGGTCCTGGGTCACTGCCCCATGGAGGTTGACGTGAACGACGAGGTCGAACTTAAAAAGCAAAGATCTACGACCACCCCATAAAAAAACTCACAACAGAGACCCGCCCTGAAGCACACAGATGGCACCGTCTCCCTCTTTCCCCTTGCCACTTCCCACCTGCAGCGTGAGCGCGTGACATCGATTTTCAAGTTGTTCTTTCATCTTCTCCACCTCAGATAGATCCTCAGCTGCTCGGCGCAGCTGGGAAGATAAATAAAAGCAACCATCATTGTTCAAACATTAATCCGATCCACCCACGAGGACGCCCACTTTCCCACACATTCTCCGATAGAGGAATGTTCATTGCATGGCAGTCAAAACAAATATTTATTTAATTCTCAGAGCCGGAGGTAGCCAATTTAAATGTGATGGGGTTTTTTGTGTCGTCATTGGTGACCAGACCGTCAACTCAGCCCACTTGAGAACCCGATTAAATTATGAGCAGTTCAAAGCCAAATTCAAACACTGGATCTCAGTGGTTCTGGCTCAGCACTCTGACCTCTGAGCAGCCCGGCTATTGTCAAGCAACACAAACTTTCTTCCCACTTTGCATAGATTCCTGCACAGGGTATGGTGTGTGCCAGTAACTAGGCTGCAGTAAGTAAAAAAAGGATTGCAGGATATGGGAAGAAAGTAAGGCTCAGGCAAATTGCTCAAGTTATAGGCAATTATTAACAAAGTTACAGCTTGGGTCAGATTCCAGCCTAGTTTTTGCTCACTAAACTGGGCTTCGAATTATCACAAGGAACTCACCTGCCGCTCCATATCTGGCAATCCGTGCCCTGCGGCGGAGTCCTGCGTCTCTTTATTCATCAGCTGTGAATGACAAAAACAGCAACAATTTCACAATGTGATCCAAAAGTTCACCCCTGGCTCAAAAGCCCCAGTGTCCAGACATTTTGGTGGGACTTCGGTTTTGCGTTGCCAGAACGTCCGATCATGGACAGGGAACACTCAGATGGGAGGGGGGTTAGAGGAGGTGGACATCCGAGCACCTCTGGGCTGCCCAAACGTTGCCGCAAGTCCCATCCACCTGGAGTTAATAGGGACTGTGGCCACTGTGTTCTGAATGTCAATTACATCACAAAATGTTCCTGTAGCAAGCGGTGGACTTTAGTGGTGAAGCCAGACATACAGGTAGAACCCTGATATATGTTAATTCGATTTACGATGATTCGTTATTACATTCGTCATAAGTAAATATGTTTTCTAAATTATATATTTTTTGGTGTACACAATATAAATACTGATAGTAAATGCACGCCATGTCGCTTGTCCGTGCATGCACTTTAAACGGTTCCAGGCCGTTTGGCTGGCCGCCACATTTTGTAACATCGCCCACTCTTTGTTTATAGGCTGTGTCGTCGTTCACACTACTCCTGCTGCTGTACGTTCCACCACGGTTCGTTCGCTCCTCCTGGCCCTCCCTCACCCTCTCAGTCAACCCTCCAGCCGTCTCCACCTCACACGACATTCACCACAGTTACTGGTGAGTAAATTACAATGTACAGTATTTGTTTTTAATCACCTGTCTAGTTATTATTCTCCATATTTATTCATAAAAATATCTAAGTTATGTTTAAAAGTGTGACTTTAGTAGGTTCTGGGTAAAAAAATATGTTATTAGGAATGCATCTTGGTTATATAATGGAACCATATGGGAGAATACGTTGCTACACGGTAGGATTATTCACTTAACGTTTAGGTTTTCAAAAACGCAACTCAAAACGTTTATCGAGGTACGCCCATACTTGTGTAATGACATCGGCGATGTCACTGTATGGTGTCGGCCTGAGAGGGCCAGGGCACGCGATGCACTGTCATCGCATACACCATGTGGGCGGCTGTAGAACCAGCCCTAGCGGGGCTTGGTGAGCACTGGATAGCGTGGGCACCACGCATAGCGTGTGGTGGGGGCTCTTACGAGGGGGAGCGGGAGAGTGTCAGCCCAAGGGCAGGGTTGCCCCAGGCCATGGCACTCTGGTTGACCCTGCAGACACGTGATCTAGAGTGTCCATAGAAAGGCCCCCAGGTGGGGGGACTAGGGGGTGATCACGTGTCCAGGGAGAGCTCTCGAGAGGGATCGAGAGGGAGCTGGAAGGCTCCAGAAAGGGGCAGGGCCAAGGGTGGAGCAGCCTCGACCGTAGGGGGACATAAGGCGGTGTCCCTGAGAGGGACCGAGGTCGCTGCATTCTACAAGCTGAAGCTCCACGTCCACCAACTGAAGCCCTACATCTCAAGCTGGAAGCTCTACGTTTACAAGGCAAACACGTGGTCGTGGAACCGAGTAGGGACCCAACCCTTTGTAGCAGTAACTCCTCTGTATAGAGTAGATAGCTGGGTGGTCACCACCCTAGACTGTATCTAGTGAAGGGGCAGCTACCCCTTAAAAATAAATGTGTTGCCTCTAAAAGGAACAACGTGTGTGACTCAGTTGGACTCACTATACTTGATAACCACTACACCACGTGGCAACTCACCTTCTCAATTCAATAACAGAGTTCAACGCAATAGAGAAAATATTATTAATTTGTAAAATTCCCACCACGTTTGCCATCATGTCTCAGCCTTTTAGGCAACTGACCATTGGGACGTGAAATGCACACAGTACCTCCTGGATCGCAGCCATCACCACGTGCTGAACAGACTCTTGCAGGGTCATGATGGTTTGAATGTGCTCTGCAGAAGACACATGGATTGGGAGGTTGGGGACAATATGGACACACAAATCTCTATTGACAAGTTTGATTTTATCGTATACAACCACTCTGAAAAAACATGAACATCGCTTCTCTCTCACAGCTCCCATCATCTGGAATTCACTGCCTCCTCCCTCACTTCGTCGCTTATAAATCGGCATCGGGGCCGTCATTCTGTCTGAATCTCAAGACTTCACTCTTCTTTTAAATGTATTCTCCCACACCAGTGAAAGTCCTTTTAAAGTTCAATGTGTGAATGAGAAATGTATTCATGAATGAATAAAAATGCCCCCGTGTGTGTGTGGAGCGGTAGTGCAATATATGTTGCGCTGTGCTACCAACCTGGCGACCCGAGTTCAATTCCCACTAACGGCCACCACCAATGACGATTTTTAAAACCGGTCTCCTCTAGGTCGACTCAGCCTCAAATGAGTACCTGGTGCGGTGTGTAAAAAATCATCACTAGGGAGACAAAGGCAGCCAGGCGTGGTTCTGGCCACCTACCCCCTTGTGTGCCATGCCGGCCTTCAACGGTGCTTGCTCACAGCACTTGCCCCAAAAGTCTGTTAGGCTATACAGACAGTCCCTGGGTTGCGGAAGACCCGATATAAGGAAATCCGACGGTGGGCAGCCTTACGCCTCGCTCCTTTGGTAGCATTATGTAATTATTTGTTTTCTATGCTTAGAACTATCTTTTTCCCCATGTTTCTATTGTTAATTTTATTCATTTTAAGTGTATTTCATGAGTTATTGACTGTATGTACTATATTTAACACAATTAAACTTCAATTACTTATAGTCTCAGCCAACAGTGATTGGAGAAGTCTAGGCCTAGCCTAATGCACGGTAAACGAACATGCGGATGTGACTGCTTTCTGTTAACAATAAATATAAAAAATGTTTCGTGGTATTCATAAACAATTGGATACAGTATATGTTCCATTTAAATTTTAATTTAAAGCTTTCGTGACTGCAGGGATTGATATTCTTGGTTCTTTCGGTAAATGTCACGTAGAAGGGAAACAATGAAATAATAAAAATATAAAACAATACGATTCTCACGACGTTTCGACTGCAACACAAGCAATCATCAGGTGTGAAAACCACAGCACCTGGTATCGACAATCACGGGTATTTCCCAGTCCCCAGACGACCTGCTTGTCAGTTTTGATGTATGATAATTGTTTTTTTACCATTTTATCTGGCAACAAAACTGACACCTTTTTTTTACAAGGAGTCATGTTTATATTGACCACAATACCTGCGGTCGGAACGCAAACAAAAAACAACTCTGATAATGTATGCACTGTCCTTGAAATTGATTGGTCCACACCCGAGACAGCTTTCTTTAGAGCCTCGTCTCACATGGTGTTGGACCAGAAGACGCCAAAAGGTGCACAACTCAAAGACAATGCACCATCATAGTATGAGGGCTCGGGGTAAGCATTACCACCATTGGAAACCTCATTTGCCAGTAACAAAATATGATAATTGGTTTTTTACACTTTTATCTGGCAACAAAACTGACACCTTTTTTTACAAGGAGTCATGTTTACCTTGACCACAATACCTGTGGTCGGAACGCAAACAAAAAACAACTCTGATAATGTATGCACTGTCCTTGAAATTGATTAGTCCACACCCGAGACAGCTTTCTTTAGAGCCTTGTCTCACATGGTGTTGGACCAGAAGACACCAAAAGGCGCATAACTCAAAGACAATGCACCATCAGAGGATGAGAGCTCGGGGTAAGCATTTACACCATTGGAAACCTCATTTGCCAGTAACAAAATATGATAATTGTTTTTTTCCCCTTTATCTGGCAACAAAACTGACACCTTTTTTTACAAGGAGTCATGTTTACATTGACCACAATACCTGCGGTCGGAACGCAAACAAAAAACAACAACTCTGATAATGTATGCACTGTCCTTGAAATTGATTGGTCCACACCCGAGACAGCTTTCTTTAGAGCCTCGTCTCACATGGTGTTGGACCAGAAGACACCAAAAGGCGCATAACTCAAAGACAATGCACAATCAGAGTATGCTTACCCCGAGCTCTCATCCTCTGATGGTGCATTGTCTTTGAGTTGTGCGCCTTTTGGCGTCTTCTGGTCCAACACCATGTGAGACGAGGCTCTAAAGAAAGCTGTCTCGGGTGTGGACCAATCAATTTCAAGGACAGTGCATACATTATCAGAGTTGTTGTTTTTTTTTGCGTTCCGACCGCAGGTATTGTGGTCAATGTAAACATGACTCCTCGTAAAAAAAGGTGTCAGTTTTGTTGCCAGATAAAAGGGTAAAAAAACAATTATCATATTTTTTTACTGGCAAATGAGGTTTCCAATGGAGTTTTGATGTAGTTTCCTTATTCACCAAAGTTCCTGTACCTGACACCATCGCAAACATTGAAGACTTGGTTCATCAAGGACTAAACACTGAGGTACCCCCCTGGTGAGACACTGCTTAACCAATACATACTTCACTTGGAATGGAACTTTCTACAAACAAACTGAGGGCACCCCAATGGGCTCCCCCCTATCTCCGGTTGTAGCCAACATTTTCATGGAGAAATTTGAGACTGACGCCATCCAGACTGCCACTCTGCGCCCAACCTTATGGAAAAGGTACGTGGATGACACTTTTGTCATCTGGCCACATGGCCGGCCTGCTCTAGACCAATTCTTCGACCACATCAATTCCATACACCCAGCCATCAGATTTACCATGGAAGTCGAAAAAGATGGCAAGCTACCTTTTTGGATGTCCTAATAAAAAAGAGACCTGATGGTTCAATGAGCCACTCTGTCTACAGGAAAGCTACCCATACAAATGCTTATCTGAAACCGGATTCCCACCACCATCCATCCCAGAAGAATTCCCTCATCAAGACTCTGCACCATAGAGCCCAATGCATATCCGACCAGGAACACATAGGCAGTGAACTCAAGCACGTACACCAAGCTCTTAAGGCTAATGGTTACTCCGACTATACAATCCGCAAAGCTATCACTCCAACCATGAAGAAGAACCCTCTTGAGGAGCCTTTCAAAACCATCACTTTACCCTACATTGCGGGGATCACAAAAAAGGTCTCCAAAATCTTGAATAAACACAAGATCCAGGTCCGATTCAACACATTACATAAAATCCGTGATCTGGTTCCGTCTGTAAAAGATGTGATTCCGGACATACAGTACCCTGGCGTCTACAAACTAAGTTGCCTCTGTGGTAGTAGTTACATTGGAGAAACCAAACTACATGTCTCGGACTGCATTCATGAACACAAAGAAGACCTAAAACACGGTAGGACCAACACCTCGGCCGTGGCAGATCACTGTTATAATTCAGTAGGCTCACATGACATTGACTTATCCAAGACAGAGGTTCTTTGCAAGCCATCTGGCTACCATGAGAGATTCGTTCATGAGGCTATCCACATATACGAACACAGAGACAATTTCAACCGAGAAGATGGATTCTGGCTTAGCAATCATTGGAAGGATTTGATAAACCATTTCGGGTCTTAATTGATTGTTCACGCTTACGGTGGCTTTCACACCGCATCCATTATTTTCGTCTCCCCCCTCCTCTTTTCCGAACATAGATGGACTCGTCCATCTGAATAACTGCCAAATCCCTCTCCGTGGTGCTAACGTAAAAAACAGCCACTTTTTCAAAATTTTCTTGCCGTGGTTTTCAGACCTGATGATGATTGCTTGTGTTGCAGTCGAAACGTCATGAGAATGTTATTGTTTTATATTTTTATTATTTTATTCTTTTGCTTTTACGTGACTTTACCGAAAGAACCAAAAATATGTTCCATTTAGTTTAATTATGGGTAGGGTTAGGGTAGATATTCTATGAAATGAAAGAATCGTAGGAAGTGCAGAGCGTATGTACAGCGATACGATACGGGGGTAGCGATAGAAAACGGACGACAGCGCGATAGAGTACTGAGAGAAAACGAACTAGTAATTAGTACTAAGAGAAAACGAACTAGTAATTAGTACTGAGAGAAAACAAACTAGTAATTAGTACTGAGAGAAAACAAACTAGTAATTAGTACTGAGAGAAAACGAACTAGTAATTAGTACTGAGAGAAAACAAACTAGTAATTAGTACTGAGAGAAAACGAACTAGTAATTAGTACTGAGAGAAAACAAACTAGTAATTAGTACTGAGAGAAAACAAACTAGTAATTAGTACTGAGAGAAAACGAACTAGTAATTAGTACTGAGAGAAAACGAACTAGTAATTAGTACTGAGAGAAAACAAACTAGTAATTAGTACTGAAAGAAAACGAACTAGTAATTAGTACTGAGAGAAAACGAACTAGTAATTAGTACTGAGAGAAAACGAACTAGTAATTAGTTCATGAGGCTATCCACATATACAAGCACAGAGACAATTTCAACCGAGAAGATGGATTCTAACTTAGCAATCATTGGAAAGATTTGATAAATCATTTCAGTTCTTGATTGATTGTTCACGCTTACAGTGGCTTTCAGACAGCATACATTATAAAAAATTTCGTCTCCCCCCTCCTCTTTTAAAAAAAATAGATGGACTAGTCCTGGGCAAACTGCCAATCGCTGCGCGTGACGCCAACGTTTTTTATAAATAAATAAATGTGCCGTTTTAAAAATAAATTTATGCAAACCGACACACCTGATGATGACCGTTTGAGTTATGGTCGAAACGTCGTGAGAATTTTTTATTGTTTTATATATATTTTGTTATTTTGTTGTTTCTCTTCAACGTGACTTTACCGAAAAAACTAAGAATATGATAGCAATTAGTACTGAGAGAAAACGAACTAGTAATTAGTACTGAGAGAAAACGAACTAGTAATTAGTACTGAGAGAAAACAAACTAGTAATTAGTACTGAGAGAAAACAAACTAGTAATTAGTACTGAGAGAAAACGAACTAGTAATTAGTACTGAGAGAAAACAAACTAGTAATTAGTACTGAGAGAAAACGAACTAGTAATTAGTACTGAGAGAAAACAAACTAGTAATTAGTACTGAGAGAAAACGAACTAGTAATTAGTACTGAGAGAAAACGAACTAGTAATTAGTACTGAGAGAAAACGAACTAGTAATTAGTACTGAGAGAAAACGAACTAGTAATTAGTACTGAGAGAAAACAAACTAGTAATTAGTACTGAGAGAAAACGAACTAGTAATTAGTACTGAGAGAAAACAAACTAGTAACTAGTACTGAGAGAAAACGAACTAGTAATTAGTACTGAGAGAAAACAAACTAGTAATTAGTACTGAGAGAAAACGAACTAGTAATTAGTACTGAGAGAAAACGAACTAGTAATTAGTACTGAGAGAAAACAAACTAGTAATTAGTACTGAGAGAAAACGAACTAGTAATTATTACTGAGAGAAAACAAACTAGTAATTAGTACTGAGAGAAAACAAACTAGTAATTAGTACTGAGAGAAAACAAACTAGTAATTAGTACTGAGAGAAAACGAACTAGTAATTAGTACTGAGAGAAAACGAACTAGTAATTAGTACTGAGAGAAAAAGAACTAGTAATTAGTACTGAGAGAAAACGAACTAGTAATTAGTACTGAGAGAAAACGAACTAGTAATTAGTACTGAGAGAAAACGAACTAGTAATTAGTACTGAGAGAAAACGAACTAGTAATTAGTACTGAGAGAAAACGAACTAGTAATTAGTACTGAGAGAAAACAAACTAGTAATTAGTACTGAGAGAAAACGAACTAGTAATTAGTACTGATAGAAAACAAACTAGTAATTAGTACTGAGAGAAAACAAACTAGTAATTAGTACTGAGAGAAAACGAACTAGTAATAGTACTGAGAGAAAACAAACTAGTAATTAGTACTGAGAGAAAACGAACTAGTAATTAGTACTGAGATAAAACGAACTAGTAATTAGTACTGAGAGAAAACGAACTAGTAATTAGTACTGAGAGAAAACAAACTAGTAATTAGTACTGAGAGAAAACGAACTAGTAATTAGTACTGAGAGAAAACGAACTAGTAATTAGTACTGAGAGAAAACGAACTAGTAATTAGTACTGAGAGAAAACAAACTAGTAATTAGTACTGAGAGAAAACGAACTAGTAATTAGTACTGAGAGAAAACGAACTAGTAATTAGTACTGAGAGAAAACAAACTAGTAATTAGTACTGAGAGAAAACGAACTAGTAATTAGTACTGAGAGAAAACGAACTAGTAATTAGTACTGAGAGAAAACGAACTAGTAATTAGTACTGAGAGAAAACAAACTAGTAATAAGTACTGAGAGAAAACGAACTAGTAATTAGTACTGAGAGAAAACAAACTAGTAATTAGTACTGAGAGAAAACGAACTAGTAATTAGTACTGAGAGAAAACGAACTAGTAATTAGTACTGAGAGAAAACGAACTAGTAATTAGTACTGAGAGAAAACAAACTAGTAATTATTACTGAGAGAAAACGAACTAGTAATTAGTACTGAGAGAAAACGAACTAGTAATTATTACTGAGAGAAAACGAACTAGTAATTAGTACTGAGAGAAAACAAACTAGTAATTATTACTGAGAGAAAACGAACTAGTAATTAGTACTGAGAGAAAACGAACTAGTAATTAGTACTGAGAGAAAACAAGCTAGTAATTAGTACTGAGAGAAAACGAACTAGTAATTAGTACTGAGAGAAAACGAACTAGTAATTAGTACTGAGAGAAAACAAACTAGTAATTAGTACTGAGAGAAAACGAACTAGTAATTAGTACTGAGAGAAAACGAACTAGTAATTAGTACTGAGAGAAAACGAACTAGTAATCGGGTACGGTTGGCACAACTATCTCCGGCATTGGATTTTATCTTGATTTTGGGGGGAAACTGTTCAGTTTCCGAGATACGGAAAATTCGGGTTAATGGATTGTTCTCGGGAACCTAACTCTTCCGAAGCCTGGGAACTGTCTGTATGGGGGATCTTTGTATTTGTGTGTCTGTGACTTTGCGTGTACACTTTCCCCGTATGTGTCTGCGTGTGCCATTGTGGTGAATCATTATGCCCCTTTTGCGACAATCAAGCCAGCATCAAGACTCAAGGTAAGTGAAAAAAAACGGATGTTTTTCTCTTTGTTACTTTCTTTTATGTTTCATTCACTATACAATATGTTGTCAGTGTTAGATTCCAATGTACAATATTTCTTCTTATTTATGAGTTTAAAAATGATTTTATTTTTTGCTGAACCATAACACATTCCTAAACACTGAACTTATGGGCATTAAAATAAAGTACATTGTTGTGATCGGAATTACGAACCATTCGACTTAAGAACGGGTCTCAGGAACGAATTATTACAAATTTGTATTTCACCAGGTAAGGCCCACTGAGCTATCTAGCTCTTTTCAGAAGCGACCTGGCCACAAATGATAGCTCAACGAAATGGCTTATTACGTGGGAATTTATAACAGCCAAATACTCCAAATGCGTGATGTTGATTCTAAATGTGGAGGGAAAATCCGGAGGACCCGGAAAAATATCCATGCGGCCACGAGGAGAACATGCAAACTCCAAATGTAAAGGCGTGAGGGTCGGGATAGAACCCACGACCTCCTGTATACCAGGTGAAGTAGTTAACATCTCGCCACCGTGGCATCAATTATGTTCATAAGTCGAGGACTGCTCATACTATATTAACAAATGATGTGTGAGCCTTCCTGTTACCCGTATTAGAGCGTCTAATGATGTTAATTATTTAATGTTAAATAATTACAATTATTTTTCAACATAGCATATATTTTAATTGTTAGAGTACAGAAAATGTTCAGGCAAAGTACTTTGCACCAGAATTAACTGCTCTAGTACAGCCACCAGTATACCCATAGCCAAAGGTGACTCTCTTCCCCAAATGTGTCATCAGTGCCCCCAAAACTTATCTGCAGGAAGCTCCCACAAGTCACAACTCAATATCAAGCACACACGTGCTGATGAGGCAGCCTACCTACCAAAGCGTTACCTAATGGGTTCGGGCCTCTGGACCATCAGGCAGCAAGGCCTGCGAGAAACCGTTTCAGTGAAGACACTGGAGAACCCTCATAGCAGGTGCAGCAACACACAGGAGGACAACGCCAACTACAGCCACAACAGAAGCCTTGCGGTGGATGACCTCATAGGTATAAAAAAAACACTGGGAGTGGGGGTCCCAGAGGCGGGGGTTACTTGCCCGTGCAGTGTTAAGAAAGCGATGTTTAGGACATATCGGTGTTTTAAGATACCTACCCCATACAAAATGCTATGTGATGGAGGGTCTCATGACAGAAATTTGGCCAGATCATGTGGCATAACCCAAACATTAATTACAAATCTGATAAGCAGCAGAACATCTACGTGTTGACATAATTCATACTCTTTGGTTCTTTCGGTAAAGTCACGTAGGTATAAAATAAAATAAATCACGACGTTTCGATCGCAACACAAGCGGTCGTCCTCAGGCGGAAAAAATATAATCCAGCAGTGGAACTGCTGAACCAGCGGGAGAGCAGTTACAACAGGAGGTTATATATGTGGTGATGGGCAAGCAAGCGGGGTCTGAGCTGGAAAAGAACTCCATCTATGGATGTAAGCACGTCAGTTTTTACTGGACAGTAGTCCGCAAAAAACATTTTAGGGTTAAAAGTGATCCACAGAACTCCAGAACATCTGTTACCACCGCACTCTTACGAGTCCAGTCCATCACAAATCTGCAGTTCAAAAAATACCGAGAACAACTAGTCTAGAGATTGCCAGGATAGCAAATGAATATCGTTTTGAAAGACTATTCAGACTCACCTTCCTTCTTGTCACAGTTGACAGCACAGCCAAGGATGAGCTGAAGGGCCTTGCCAGTCTCTCCCCGGTGTCCATGCTCTGCCATCAGGCACACATCTGGCACGGCATCTTGTGCCACTGGCTGGCCCACGACCTGCAATGCACACGTACGCACACACGCACGGACCTAAGTCAAGCAGCACACAACAGGCGCCATTCACTACTCAGTGGCAGTGCTTGTGCCAGGCTAGGTACACTTTGAGGAAACGTTCAGTGTAGTGGCAGCACATGCTCAAACGTGTACACGGACATCAGTGAGCAGCCTGCAGCACACGCACAAATACATCAACATCGGTGAGCACACATTATGTCACTGGCACAAAAAACCATAATAGGCCATCGGTACAGGCCCACACACCGATTATACAGTGAGGGAAAAAAACATTTGATCCCCTGCTGATTTTGTACGTTTGCCCACTGACAAAAAAATGATCAGTCTATAATTTTAATGGTAGGTTGATTTGAACAGTGAGAGACAGAATAACAACAACAAAATCCAGAAAAACGCATGTGAAAAATGTTATAAATTGATTTGCATTTTAATGAGGGAAATAAGTATTTGACCCCTCTGCAAAACATGACTTAGTACTTGGTGGCAAAACCCTTGTTGGCAATCACAGAGGCCAGACGTTTCTTGTAGTTGGCCACCAAGTTTGCACACATCTCAGGAAGGATTTTGTCCCACTCCGCTTTGAAGATCTTCTCCAAGTCATTAAGGTTTCGAGGCTGACGTTTGGTAACTCGAACCTTCAGCTCCCTCCACATATTTTCTATGGGATTAAGGTCTGGAGACTGGCTAGGCCACTCCAGGACCTTAATGTGCTTCTTCTTGAGCCACTCCTTTGTTGCCTTGGCCATGTGTTTTAGGTCATTGTCATGCTGGAAAACCCATCCACGACGCATTTTCAATGCCCTGGCTGAGGGAAGGAGGTTCTCACCCAAGATTTGACGGTACAAGGCCCTGTCCATCGTCCCTTTGATGTGGTTAAGTTGTCCTGTCCCCTTAGCAGAAAAACACCCCCAAAGCATAATGTTTCCACCTCCAAGTTTGACGGTGGGGATGGTGTTCTTGGGGTCATAGGCAGCATTCCTCCTCCAAACACAGCGAGTTGAGTTGATGCCAAAGAGCTCCATTTTGGTCTCATCTGACCACAACACTTTCACCCAGTTGTCCTCTGAATCATTCAGATGTTCATTGGCAAACTTCAGACGGGCATGTATATGTGCTTTCTTGAGCAGGGGGACCTTGCAGGCGCTGCAGAATTTCAGTCCTTCACGGCGTAGTGTGTTACCAATTGTTTTCTTGGTGACTATGGTCCCAGCTGCCTTGAGATCACTGACAAGATCCTCCCGTGTAGTTCTGGGCTGATTTCTTACCGTTCTCATGATCATTGCAACTCCACGAGGTGAGATCTTGCATGGAACCCCAGGCCTAGGGAGATTGACAGTTATTTTGTGTTTCTTCCATTTGCGAATAATCGCACCAAGTGTTGTCACCTTCTCACCAAGCTGCTTGGCAATGGTCTTGTAGCCCATTCCAGCCTTGTGTAGGTCTACAATCTTGTCCCTGACATCCTTGGAGAGCTCTTTGGTCTTGGCCATGGTGGAGAGTTTGTAATCTGATGGATTGCTTCTGTGGACAGGTGTCTTTTATACAGGTAACAAGCTGAGATTAGGAGCACTCCCTTTAAGAGTGTGCTCCTAATCTCAGCTCGTTACCTGTATATAAGACACCTGGGAGCCAGAAATCTTTCTGATTCAGAGGGGGTCAAATACTTATTTCCCTCATTAAAATGCAAATCAATTTATAACATTTTTGACATGCATTTTTCTGGATTTTTGTTGTTGTTATTCTGTCTCTTACTGTTCAAATACACCTACCATTAAAATTATAAACTGATCATTTCTTTGTCAGTGGACAAACATACAAAATCAGCAGGGGATCAAATACTTTTTTTCCCTCACTGTAAGTACTGTTAGTGAGCAGGTACACACTGGACTGCTTATCAGGAGTGTAACGGGACAACAATTAACATCACATTTTAAGACTCACGATAAATGCATAAAATCTCGTGTGTAAAAATATATATTTTTAATATATGCAATTTATATTTGGGCCAATGCACTGAAGGCACTTTGCGATGCATCGTGAGTGAGCGTGCCGAGTACAAAGCAGGAACTCAGCAAGGGGATGCGCGGAGCGAGGGAAGAGGGGAGTTTTTTGGTGACAGATCTGACCTCGCTGTAGTAGCTGAGAAGGGCATTCAAAATCTTCTTGAGGTTACTCAACTGTAAAACAAAACAATTCACATGATCAGGTGTGGTAGCAATGGTAAATCATCTTCAGCCCAGACTCAAGATGCTAGGATGGGGGATAAATTCTGGATGGGAATGCTGACAACATACATTGTACGTGTCCCTGTGGATTTGTAAATCTATTTGTGTCCTCGTGTGATCAATGCAAATGCCTTACTTTGGCAGCACACTAATTTGCCGTGCTACCCCTCTTATCTGGAAAATAAGTGCGGATAATAAAACACTGTCTCACGTTCCCTCATTGGAAAAGTCGTGGAAGATGGCAAATAAGTAGTAACCAATGGGCACGTTTTGCTTGTGTCAAACCTTACCGATTGGCTGTGTCGGATGGTTGGTTAACGACACATTTGTATTTACGCGATCTAACCCAAAATTACTTTTAGGAATAATAGGGCTGTGGATAATATCCGTTTTCACTAACTCTACAACTCCCACGGAAAACAGGATTTGTGAATAATAAGGGTCACCAGAACATTCCCACCACTTGCTCCGCACCACCAATGCAGATAAGCCACACTAGATTCTTGCACGAGCATAGATACAAGTTTCCCTCATCATGAAGTTATTCACTTGAGAATTGTAAATAAGTAAATTTATGAAGGAATAATGTTGATAGAGACTAAATATCAGAGTTGCCGGGATGATACTACGACCCACTACGCAATGTAACGTCCACAATCGTCGTATAGTTCATTTAGAAAAATATCATTACATCGCGATTATTGCTATGTTTCTTAAATATTTTATTTTATCATGAAAAATGTATTAAATTACAAACTCTATCATTACAGTTAAACATAAATCACTCGTATACATTACATTAAAGCTTTGCTCATAATAAAGGTTTTTGGATTAGATCGCGTTAATTGTGTCGCAATCCTTCACCACCTGACACAGCCAATCAGTAAAAAATGTGTCACGTTGACAAAAGACAAATATTTCACGACTTTAGCCCACCGGTGAAGTGTTATGCAGAAGTGTATTATTAAGTAATACACAACACATTGCAATTCCTTACAGGTGAGTCACATGCTAAGTGGCTGATTACTGATCGATTACACAATTGCATACACCCCCACCTCCGCCTCTGATCTCGAATCCTGATGAGGTTCCACAATGCTGAAGTCATTCTGCACTATTTAAGGCCAGAAGCAGGTGGATGGCTTCACTATTCTGGCAAATCACCCGAAGATGCTGGATGTAATTTTCAACGAAACGTCGTACTCAAATTGCAAATATTATACTATAATAGCCCAGAAATGGCCGTAACGTGCGTGACGTCACTCCACATGCCGCGCACCCCCTTCATTAATAATAACATAATGAGCAGGTGGATTTTCACACTCATGTGGAAGGTCGAGCGGAAAGATATATTTTTTTCGCACAGTCGCTTCAAATATGACGTTTCTTTACAAAAAGTGGCGGCCAAAAATAAATATACGCAGCACAGTGCTACATCCGTACGTGACGTCACTGCAAAAGAGCCCCCCTCATTAATAATGAGCGGGTGGATTTTTACACTCCCGCAGGTCGAGCGGAAAAAAAAAATTAACGCAAATTCGCTTTAAATTTGACGTTTCTTTATTGAAAATTAATCAAATAAATAATTCTAAACAGCCGTTTCTTTACAGAAAGTGACGGCCAAAAATAAATATACGCAGCACAGCGCTACATCCGTACGTGACGTCACTGCTACAGGTCCCCCCACCTCATTAATAATCATGGTCGGAAACATTTTTACATTCCCACAGGTCGAGCGAAAACATTTTTTTTACGCAAATTCGCTTTAAATTTGATGTTTCTTTATTGGAACTTAATCAAATAAATAGTTCTACGCAGCAACAGTGCATTTGGTGTCTTTATTTATTTCTTCAGCACTTGAAACAAAAGGTAAATCAAATTTTTGCTTCTAAAGTATGATAAAATATATCAATTTCTCGTCATTTTCCAGACATTGTATCGATTTCAAATTAATTACAACCCCAGCGAGTGAAAGCAGAACAAAAAAGAGTATCAGAGCAGTGATTTTGAACTAATTGAAGGTGAGTTAAATGCAGTGCTACAGTGACATGAAGTGAGGTTTTTGATTTAAAGCTTTCGTGACTGCAGTAATTCATATTCTTAGTTTTTTCGGTAAAGTCACGTTGTCACGTTCAACGTGACTTTACCGAAAAAACTAAGATTATAAAGTGAGGTGTTTTATTACACTTTTGTGCAAGAATCACTGCCATTAATAAAGTACAAGAGATTCACGCAAAATATCAGATACCAAGGTTTCATTTTTTAAGTTAAGAAAAATATATTTACGTGCAACAATTCCTAAAAAAATTACAATCACACAAGTAAACGTAAATGTACATCTTTAATATTACAGCTTCCGTCTTAGGACAGGAAAAAGGCTAATTGAAGATGAGTTAAATGCAGTGCTACAGTCACATGAAGTGAGGTGTTTTATAACATAGTTTGTGCAAGCATCACTGCCATTAATACAGTACTACAGTGAAATGCAGTGTAGTGTTTGATGACAATCTTTCGTGCAAGATTCACTGCCATTAAATTATACTGTGCTCCATTTTATCGTAAATATTACAGCTTTTGTCCTACGACAGACAAAGGGTTAGTTCATAATAAAGGTTTTTTGGGTTAGATCGCGTTTATTTATAAATGTGTCGTAACTCTCCACCACCCTACACGGCCAATCAGCAAAAAAAGTGTCACGTTAACAAAAAGACAAATAATTCACTACTTTAGCCCACCGGTGCATTGAAGAGTGAATCCACATTTACAGTTTTGAGTACGACGTTTCGCTGGTAAATACATCCAGCATCATCGGGCAATTCGCCAGAATGGTAAAGCCCTCGCTTGCTCCCGGTTTTATATAGAGCAGCAGGGTGACGTCATCACTTAACTCATATCAGGTGCAGTGATTAGAGGCGGAGGGGGGGTATTGTAATTATATAATCGATTAGTAATCAGTCATTGGTTATGATTAGTAATGAGTTGTAGATTAGTAATTCTTTAAATCAAAATGTAATGTGTATTATTTAATAATACGCTTCCAGGCCGCACTAAGCCTGTAGCTGTCAGAGCGATTAAAGTTATTCTTGTTCCTCTCAATTTCAATGGATTCTCTAATTAGTCTTTGCCAGTAATAATTAGTTTTACACGCCACTGCAACATTGTCAAAATCAATTGAGTGTCCTTGTTGACAAGCATGTTCTGCCACTGCCGATAGTTGTGTTTGAGATAATTTAATATTTCTCTGATGTTCTTTTAGTCTTACGCTGATGTTACATCCCGTCTGTCCAATGTAGCAGCTGCCACATAAACAATTAATCTGATATACACCTTCTGTTGATAATTTAGGTAATGCTTCTTTAGTGCAAGATACTAGTTTTTGAATTTTGTGTACTGTACCAAATCTTATTGTAATGTTTTGCTTTTGCAAAACACGGGCAAATTGGTCAGTTACTCCTGAGATATATGGAATTTTTATTGTTTTAACAATCTGGTCGCTTTCAGCAGTATTGCTTTGCGATCGTGATTTGGCATTCAGTGCTGTTAATTTGAGCATTATTGTAGCCATTCTGTCGTAGTGCGTCTTTAACGTGTTTAATCTCTCTCACTAGACTCTCACCATCTGACACTGTTTTAGCCCGATGTATGAGCGTCTTGATAAGAGAGGATTTCTGAGCTGGATGATGATGTGATTCTGCATTCAGATAGGCATCAGTGTGCGTTTGCTTTCTGTAAACGCTGTGTGTTATTTTACCGTTTAGGCCATGTCCAAGCAAAATATCTAGGAATGGGAGTGTGTTATTCACCTCCATTTCCATGGTGAACTGGATGGCCGGGTTTTGTGCATTGAGATGATTTAGAAAATCATTAAGTGTATCTTTACCATGTGGCCAGACAACCAAAGTGTCATCCACATATCTAAGCCAAAAGGATGGTTTTAATGTGCTCGAGGCAAGTGCTCTTATTTCAAAGTTTTCCATGTACAAATTTGCTATAGCAGGGGATAAAGGAGAACCCATTGCTGCTCCTTCCTTTTGTTTAAAGAAATCCCCTCTCCATAAGAAGTAAGTGTTATTTAAACAATGGCCAGCAAGTTTCGGAATATCTTTTGGTAAACCGGTATTCTTTACTAGTGTATCAAGTAATTTAAGCAATTCGTCCACTGGAACCTTAGTGAATAGAGAAATCACATCAAAACTTACCAGAATATCATCAGGAGTAAGTTTAATATCTTTAATCACATTCACAAGATGTTCTGAATTTTTTAATGAATGAAGATGTCCTACCGATGTAGGGCTGTATTTGTTTGGTTATATATTTTGCTAATTGATATGTGGCAGAGCTAATTGTACTGACTATGGGTCGTAATGGGATGCCGATTTTATGAATCTTTGGTAGCCCATACAGTCGAGGTGGTTTTGAGGCCCTTGGCTTAATTTGGTATTGCTCATTTTTAGGGATTAATGAATTTGCAATTATTGCAGTGGTCTTACGTTCTAAAGTACTAGTTGGATCTCGTTTAATTTTAATGTAGGTACTTTCCTCTAGTAAATTTCTAATTTTATTATCATAATCGGCTCGTGACATCACTACAGTAGTGTGGCCTTTATCAGCTGCTAGGATTTGGATATCCTTGTTTACACGCAGCTCTCTTGAGGCTTTTGCCTCGTTAGAGCTAATATTTACTTTTGGAACTTTGCTATTCTCAATTATTTTAGCAACCTCATGTCTAACTGCTGATTCTACCTCAGCAATTATCTCATCCACTGGAATTTTGCGTGGGGTAACGGCAAAGTTAAGGCCTTTAGAAAGGATAGAGACCATGTCACCGGTTAATACAGTGTTAGTCAAGTTCAGTACGGTTTTGTTTTTAAATTTTTGGTTTTCAGTAGGGATTTGTTTATTATGTAGTCTAGAAAATGTATTAATTTGTTGGTTTTTGTTAGTTTAAACAC